CCTATTGTAGCCACATAAGAGAGGGGATACATGGATGACCTGTTGTAGCCATATAAGAGAGGATATACAAGGATAACATGTTGTAGCCAAATTAGAGAGGGGATACATGGATGATCTGTTGTAGCCATATAAGAGAGGATATACAAGGATGACATGTTGTAGCCATATTAGAGAGGGGATACATGGATGACCTGTTGTAGCCATATAAGAGAGGATATACAAGGATAACATGTTGTAGCCATATTACAGAGGATATACATAGGATGACATGTTGTAGTCATATTAGAGAGGGGATACAAGGATAACCTGTTGTAGCCATATAAGAGAGGATATACAAGGATAACATGTTGTAGCCATATTAAAGAGGGGATACAAGGATGACCTGTTGTAGCCATATGAGAGAGTGGGATACAAGGATGACCCATTCTAAACATATTTGGGAAGAGATTCACGGATGAACTGTTATAACAATAGTAAAGAGGGGATACATGGATGACCTGTTGTAGCCAAATAAGAGAGGGTATACAAGGATAACATGTTGTAGCCATCTTAGAGAGGGGATACATGGATAACCTGTTGCAGCCATATTAAAGAGGGGATACAAGGATAACCTGTTGTAGCCATATTAAAGAGGAGATAAAGGATGACCTGTTGTAGCAATATAAGAGAGGGGATACAAGGATGACCTGTTGTAGCCATATGAGAGAGTGGGATACAAGGATGACCTATTCTAAACATATTTGGGAAGAGATTCACGGATGAACTGTTATAACAATAGTAAAGAGGGGATACATGGATGACCTGTTGTAGCCATATTAGATAGGGGATACATGGATGACCTGTTGTAGCCATATTAGAGAGGGGGATACAAGGATGGCCTGTTGTATCCACATTAGAGAGGGGATACAAGGATGACTTGTTGTTACCATATTAGATAGGGGATACATGGATGACATGTTGTAACCTGATAAGAGAGGGGGATTCACGGATGAACTGTTGTAACAATACTAAAGAGGGGATACAAGAATGACATGTTGTAACCATATTAGAGAGGGGGATACAAGGATGACCTGTTGTAACCATATTAGAGAGGGGGATACAAGGATGACATGTTGTAACCATATTAGAGAGGGGGATACAAGGATGACCTGTTGTATCCATATAAGAGAGCGGGATACAAGGATGACCTGTTGTAACCATATAAGAGAGTGGGATACAAGGATGATCTGTTGTAACCATATTAGAGATGGGGATACAAGGATGGCCTGTTGTATCCACATTAGAGAGGGGATACAAGGATGACCTGTTGTAACCATATAAGAGAGTGGGATACAAGGATGACCTGTTGGTATCATATTAGAGAGGGGATACAAGGATGACATGTTGTAACCATATTAGATAGGGGATACAAGGATGACCTGTTGTAACCATTTAAGAGAGGGGATACAAGGATGACCTGTTGGTATCATATTAGAGAGTGGGATACAAGGATGACCTGTTGTAACCATATTAGAGAGGGGATACAAGGATGACCTGTTGGTATCATATTAGAGAGTGGGATACAAGGATGACCTGTTATAACCATATTAGAGAGGTGATACAAGGATGACATGTTGTTATAATATTAGAGAGTGGGATACAAGGATGACTTGTAACCATATTAGAGATGGGGATACAAGGATGACATGTTGTAACCATATTAGATAGGGGATACAAGGATGACCTGTTGTAACCATATTAGGCGAGGGGGATACAAGGATGACCTGTTGTAACCATATTGGAGAGGAGGATACAAGGATGACCTGTTGTAACCATTTAAGAGAGGGGATACAAGGATGGCCTGTTGGTATCATATTAGAGAGTGGGATACAAGGATGACCTGTTGTAACCATATTGGAGAGGAGGATACAAGGATGACCTGTTGTAACCATTTAAGAGAGGGGATACAAGGATGGCCTGTTGTTATAATATTAGAGAGTGGGATACAAGGATGACTTGTTGTAACCATATTAGAGAGGTGATACAAGGATGGCCTGTTGTAACCATATTAGAGAGGGGATACAAGGATGGCCTGTTGTTATAATATTAGAGAGTGGGATACAAGGATGACCTGTTGTAACCATATTAGAGAGGGGAATACAAGGATGACCTGTTGTAACCATATAAGAGAGGGGGATACAAGGATGACCTGTTGTAACCATATAAGAGAGGGGGATACAAGGATGACCTGTTGTAACCATATAAGAGAGGGGGATACAAGGATGACCTGTTGTAACCATATAAGAGAGGGGGATACAAGGATGACCTGTTGTAACCATATAAGAGAGGGGGATACAAGGATGACCTGTTGTAACCATATAAGAGAGGGGGATACAAGGATGACCTGTTGTAACCATATAAGAGAGGGGGATACAAGGATGACCTGTTGTAACCATATAAGAGAGGGGGATACAAGGATGACCTGTTGTAACCATATAAGAGAGGGGGATACAAGGATGACCTGTTGTAACCATATAAGAGAGGGGGATACAAGGATGACCTGTTGTAACCATATAAGAGAGGGGGATACAAGGATGACCTGTTGTAACCATATAAGAGAGGGGGATACAAGGATGACCTGTTGTAACCATATAAGAGAGGGGGATACAAGGATGACCTGTTGTAACCATATTAGAGAGGGGATACAAAGATGGCCTGTTGTATCCACATTAGAGAGGGGATACAAGGATGACCTGTTGTAACCATATTAGAGAGGGGATACAAGGATGGCCTGTTGTAACCATATTAGAGAGGGGATACAAGGATGGCCTGCTGTAACCATATTAGAGATGGGGATACAAGGATGACCTGTTGTTATAATATTAGAGAGGGGATACAAGGATGGCCTGCTGTAACCATATTAGAGATGGGGATACAAGGATGGCCTGTTGTAACCATATTAGAGAGGGGATACAAGGACGGCCTGCTGTAACCATATTAGAGATGGGGATACAAGGATGCCCTGTTGTAACCATATTAGAGAGGGGATACAAAGATGGCCTGTTGGATCCACATTAGAGAGGGGATACAAGGATGACCTGTTGTAACCATATTAGAGAGGGGGATACAAGGATGACTAGTTGTAGCAATATTACAGACTCGGCATAAAGTTGTAATATGATATCAACACAAGAAAAAACGTTTTATTTATATACCCTTGTGTATATATTGTTGAGCTTTATTTATATACCCTTGTGTATATATTGTTGAGCTTTATTTATATACCCTTGTGTATATATTGTTGAGCTTTATTTATATACCCTTGTGTATATATTGTTGAGCTTTATTTATATACCCTTGTGTATATATTGTTGAGCTTTATTTATATACCCTTGTGTATATATTGTTGAGCTTTATTTATATACCCTTGTGTATATATTGTTGAGCTTTATTTATATACCCTTGTGTATATATTGTTGAGCTTTATTTATATACCCTTGTGTATATATTGTTGAGCTTTATTTATATACCCTTGTGTATATATTGTTGAGCTTTATTTATATACCCTTGTGTATATATTGTTGAGCTTTATTTATATACCCTTGTGTATATATTGTTGAGCTTTATTTATATACCCTTGTGTATATATTGTTGAGCTTTATTTATATACCCTTGTGTATATATTGTTGAGCTTTATTTATATACCCTTGTGTATATATTGTTGAGCTTTATTTATATACCCTTGTGTATATATTGTTGAGCTTTATTTATATACCCTTGTGTATATATTGTTGAGCTTTATTTATATACCCTTGTGTATATATTGTTGAGCTTTATTTATATACCCTTGTGTATATATTGTTGAGCTTTATTTATATACCCTTGTGTATATATTGTTGAGCTTTATTTATATACCCTTGTGTATATATTGTTGAGCTTTATTTATATACCCTTGTGTATATATTGTTGAGCTTTATTTATATACCCTTGTGTATATATTGTTGAGCTTTATTTATATACCCTTGTGTATATATTGTTGAGCTTTATTTATATACCCTTGTGTATATATTGTTGAGCTTTATTTATATACCCTTGTGTATATATTGTTGAGCTTTATTTATATACCCTTGTGTATATATTGTTGAGCTTTATTTATATACCCTTGTGTATATATTGTTGAACTAATCAGGTTACCATGTATTACCCGAAATGTACAATAATTGTTTCCCATATTAAATATCATGTGCCAAACAAATGCACATTTTGAATAAAGCAAAGGGAATCGGGAAAAATGTACTATGAAGTGAAGGTAGGAAAAAACAAGAGATCCCAGAGGGATTTTGGTGCCCACCATTGTACCATCTTCATTGGATCAAGTCATGTTAACAGTAAATGCACCGTTTCATGTATTTACTAGTACAGCTCTTTCAATGTTAGATCAAATCATTACAATATCAGAAAGATCTCATTAGTACTTCATGTAGCCATCTTGTTTTAATGATCACTCTCCAAAGTAAACATGCACAATTACAGACCAAGGGGAACCTACATATTTAATTTGAGAAAGATTCCTTAAAAATTTCCTGAGAAATAGCGATAACAAACATTCACTGTTAAAATCCAAGATGGCCATCTTTCGGCCATTTTGTTTATACGATCAGTCTCAAAAGTAAACATACACAACTAAAAACCATGGGGAACCTACATACAATATTTGAGAAGATCACTCTGGAACTTCCTGAGAAATAGCGATTACAAACATTCAATGTCAAAATCCAAGATGGCTGCCTGACAGCCATTTTGTTTATTCAACCAATCTCAATAGTTAACATGCACAATAACAGACCAAGGGAAACCTTATGTCAAATTTGAAAAAGATCTTTTCAGAACTTCCTGAGAAATAGTGATAACAAATATTTCCTTGTTAAAATCCAAGATGGCCACCTTTCGACCGTTTTGTTTATTAGATCAGTCTCAAAAGTAGGCATGCACAACTACAGACCAAGGGGAACCTTCATATGTAATTTGAGAAAGATCTCTCCTGCACTTTCTGAGAAATAGCGATAACAAGAATTGTTTAAGGACAAACGACAGACGGCGAACCTCAGATGAAGGGTGATTTGAAAGTCCGACCATCAGATGATGGTGGGCTAAACATATTACTGAAAACAAAAAGCACAATATTTAGTTAATTTTTTTTTCGATTTATTTCATTTCATGGTACTTGCAAAAAAATATTCACCCTGATGGTACATGTAACATTGAATTTTAACTAATTTACCCATTTTCGAAGAATATTTCCGAAAAAGATGCTTCTGTCAACCTCAATATCCAAAAAATAATTTGTTTCTGCTTTTCATCAAAGGTATGGACCCAACTTTAATTACATCACCAGTGGTACAATTTTATAAGAAGCTGAAGCCATACCAGTCATTTGGTACTAAAATAACAATAGGTTGTAATGTAATCCATACATGTGCTGTAAGATACAAATTTGGAACTGTCTGTGGAAATGAGCTTGTCTGCAGACGATTAGGAGTGTCTTCATGAATCTTCATAATTGCTAGATCTGGAGTGTCTTCATGAATACTCATGATTGCTAGATCTGGAGTGTCTTCATGAATATTCATAAATGCTAGATCTGGAGTGTCTTCATGAATATTCATGATTGCTCGATCTGGAGTGTCTTCATGAATATTCATGATTGCTTGATCAGGAGTATCTTCATGAATATTCATAATTGCTAGATCAGAAGTCTTCATGAAATTGCTAGATTAGGAGTGTCTTCATGAATATTCATGATTGCTAGATTAGAAGAGTAATAATAAAATTGGTAGATCAGGAGTACCAAAATGAATATTCATGATTGCTAGATCAGAAAAGTCTTCATGAAATCGCTAGATAAGGAGTATCTTCATGAATATTCATGGCTTCTAGATCAAGAGTGTCTTTATTAATATTCAAGATTGCAACATATGGCTGTCAGTATGCTTTTGCTAATTGTAATTGTATATGTAACAACATTATGTACAATTTTTAGTTAAAACTCCTGAACCAGATGTTGTCCTACAAACATAAATATAACCATTTTACACTGAAGCATCTCTAGTTACGTATACGTACTAATTTATTCAATATGTAACCTCAGAAAATTGTAACCAGTAGGTATAATCAAAGCTGCATGGTTATTTCACTGCTTACTAGGTGTAAACATTAATTCAAACATCCCTAGTTCAATATATCCAAGTTTGTGAGAATATTCAATACTTTAACTTCTCAAATAAATATAAAATGTAAATATTATATATAATTTTCTCAGATTAGTTCTTGCTGATATAATTTACCGTTTCACATACAACATGTATGCTAATGTATGGCATCCTGGCATCAATTTAAAAGTTTCTTCTTCAGAAAAACATTCTTTGAAGATATCAATGATGGGCTTTTGATCAAAATTCATAATCACATTCTCAATGCTAATTTAATTCAGACTACAAGGGGCAAAAAAAACCAAAAGATGAAAATGATTGTCATTTCACCTGGTTGAATTCTTAGAAACACACTACATGTCAAACACTAATGCCCAACACCACAGAAATATATATTTTACATACATACACCTTTACAGCTGGTACTGTATCATTGACTTCTATCATGGGATCATACACAGGTGTACAAGGTAACAGATTTACTACAGCTTTTTAAAACTTACATACACCAGTGATGCATGCTAAGCCTGTATACAAAACATGAATTTCTGTGGCCCTTTTTTTACAGAAACTTTCTTGTTTTTCATGGGCTATTGAGAAAAGGATATTGAACAGTCAAAACATAATCATGATTAATATTGCCAAATATATTTGAAAGAGTTTCGCAAAATGTTTTGATAAGATGATCTTTTTTTCTTGTCTGCATACGTTATAGGACCAACAATGATGAGCCAGTATCTTTATTTCAACAAAACAGAAATGTTTTAACTGAAATATAAAGCAAATATAAGGCCCATAAGTGTACAAGTCTTGTTGTTACTGTAAAGCGCTTTAACTCTGCGGGGTCAATATTTCGTGGTTTAGTATTCAGTACATATTCGCGGGGATTAAATTTCGCTGTGCATCCAAATCCAATATGTCGTGCAAAGTATTTTGAGTGTCATCATTTAAGGGTTTGAAAACATTGATCCCGAGCAACGTCATCCGCCAGTGACTTCACTCTAAAGAAATCAAATGGGTATGTACCTTTGTAGGAGTAAACTGTTATCAATTACTGTGCACACATAAATATGTTGTGGCGATCTATATATAAGTGTTGTTTTACATGAACTGCCCAGTTGTCTGGTGATAATCTGATGCGAGTTCATTAATTAAAGGTTGCATGCAAAACAGCGTTGGATAATAAGTATTTTCAATATGTTGTGATAAGGTCCGTAACTGTGATTAACATTTTCGATAATTTCGCTGGTGTTTAGAATTCCTGGATATAAGTCATAGCGTGAATATAGCGAAATTAAAACCCCCGCGAAATAAAACCGCTATACAGTAAATAAAAACCTCGTGAATTCATCATGTAACACATTGAATCACAACAAAAAGTAACCCGAAAAGTAACAAGATCATCCATACTTATAAAGAGTTACACAAATCTCATAAAAAGACTCTTAACCCTTTGAGTGCTAGTCACAACTATAGTTGCACTGTATGTCTGTGGCCACCACTAGTTACTGCTAGTCACAACTTTAGTTGCACATTCTATAAAATGGTATTTTATATGGTCAACAGCTAATCGTGTTGATTAAAATTTAATCAAACATATCAAATAACCAATTTCCATTGGTATTAATATGTTTTAATATTAACACAAGTATTATTTTTGCAATATTTTTACTAAAATTATGACTTATGAAGTTATATCTAAATTTGAACTGCAGTGAAAATTAAATTTTCCTAATTAATTCAGCACTGATTGGTTACCGTATGTTATTTTAATGTAGCACTCTAAGGGTTAAATTGCGTCTTAGTGAGAAACCCATCCAACTATATGTTAACATGTAATGTGACCACATAAAGTAAGATTTTTTGCCATGGTACAACTGAACCCTGAGCTATACTGGAAGTTTATACCGTACTTATCCTTCAACAAGTCCACAGCCAACGCTCAATTTCAGACTGGAAGAATGGAGATGGGCTTATTACAGGGCAATCAGTTGACATTTGTTTTGCATGTCCACTGAAATTCAAGATATGGATGGGGTACCAGGCATGGGCTTATTGCTGGATAAATACGGTAATATGTACATAAAGGTGGGACGAAATTTAACCAAACAAACAAGGTCACGGTTGAGGTAAATACTTGAGTTTATAGATTAAATATTGGACACCAATTCAGTATACGTAGGACACTTCAAATTCATCATCCTCGATACTCCAGGGGTTATGCTCAGTTTTGCTTTCTGCATCCCTAGAATATGTCACGACAAAAATCGAAATCTCAGTGTGCGCCACCTTGTGGGCAAGATGAGATCCCTAGTTTGATCCTTTTTTTTATGAAAAGAATCTGTAGGTTGCGAAATGGTAAAATTAACTGGCTTTGAAGTAGAGGTGTGTATCGCAAGGGTTGTGATGATACCATACGTATCACGATACCCGGGTCACGATACGATACATATCGCGATACTTGTCACAACATTCTGTATAAATCTGTTGCCATAGTTTTTCTTGATTTGAAGCATTTATAACCTTGATATGAAACCGATATAAAGTGTTTGTATTCCATGCTCAATTAATCTGCTTTTAATGATTTATTATTTTAGTTGACCTAAATAAACACACTCATTCAGATGATTAATTAATAATTATGTTGGGAAATCTGATCATGTATAGCTTTTTTCTAAAGTATCGCAATACTATCGGCCAATGCCACAATGCATCGGCACTCAAGAAATGATACGATTCATCGATGCATCGGTGAATCGTTACACCTCTACTTTGAAGTTAGGTGTTGCTCCTCAAACAACAGGTATCAGCCTAGCAATTGTTTTTACCTGACACCAATCATATAGCTAGCCGTGTGCCTTCAATATTGCTATGACATATTCCTGGGGTGCAGAGAGTGAAAGTGAGCGTAACCCCTGGAGTATCGAGGATGTACTGTAAGGAATATTTGCATTATTATGTACATGTATATCTGACCTTTTACACTTCTTTTTATATAAATTACGACTCTCTCTCTATAATAATTATCATTAGTACTGGCACAAATGTAATAATATATATTTTTTCGAACACGTAATACAGAAAACCAAATTCATTTGTTCCCATGTACCAAAAGAAAAAATGTGCGCTCACACTTACACTATATTTTTTTCAAGCATCACTGAGTATCACTCCACTTGGGTGATGCCTGGGACTAGTATATTTTATATCAGGACTGGTGAAAAGATAAATATTTACTATGAAAGTATAGGAGTATTATTTTCAACTCATTCACCCCTGAAGACACATTTCAAACTCTACCAATTCAACGGTTGGAATAGTTCGTTATTTAATTTCAGGGGTGAACGAGCTAAAAAATCTGCCCGTGGGCTTTTACCCTAAATAGTTAATTGTACAATACATGAGCATATTTACAGGAAACCAGCTCAAATTTATTCCCATGTACGGATAGGAAAAATTGTGTGCTAACAGTTGAGTCTTTAGTTTGGAGAATGTGAAATTACTGCCTGATCCTTTAAGAGTTGCATGTATACTTGAGAGGTCAGAAAACAACACTAGTCATATCGTCTATATACTGTTAACTAAACTCTTTAAGAGTTACATGTATACTCAAGAGGTTGGGGAACAACACTAGTCATATCGTCAATATACTGTTCACCAAGTTCTGAAAAAGATTCAACACCACTGGTATTTTGTTGCTGTTCGTTCCTTATAACAACAGCTTTTCCCTGAGCACCATGAGACAATACACCGTCACCACCATCCTGGTTCTGTTCAGATTCTGTACTGCCTTGTGCAGAACAAGCTCCAGGTATTACGACGTCTGTCACCAACTGTTCTTGATTCTGCACAATTGAGTCTGTGAGCGATACAGTTTCGGAATAATTGTGCAAATTATGATAAAAATTTCCTGATGGCACACACTCATTGACCTCTTCTGTCTGATTTGGAATATTCTGAATTGCTGTTGTTGCTTGTACTTCTATTTTTTTTTGCATTCCTGTCGAATTTGTTAAATTGATGTCAACTTGATTCTGCATATGTGTATGCGTTGAGAAGTCGGAAGTGCTAACATTTATGAAGTTACTAGGATCACTTGTACGATTTAGGTTAACATCTATGCAGGCAGGATTGTTGTCCAAGCCACTTCCAGGCTGTTCTCCCCCTCGTTGATGAGTTGTAGTGACATTGAGCGGGTTATTGCTATCTGGTTGTATCTTATACACGTGTATGACGGTCTCTCCGCCCGGCACAGTCGGACGATTGTAGACCAGGATAAGTGGTTCGTTGACGTTATCCCCGATAAGAGCAGCCTGTCCCGAAGTCTGTAGCAGCTGAACTAACTGTTCTGTATCGGTGCCAATGTCAACCACAGGCATGCCTGACTGCATCACCATGACGTTTTCTACATGTGGTGCGTCGGGTACTGGCGGTACAGGGTTACTTCCTTTGCTCATGTTCATCAGAATCTCCACAATCTCATTAGATTCCTCGGGGCCACGAGGCACCTTCTGGGAACTGTTTAAATAAAAGTGTATTTTGTTACAACATAAAAGACACCGTATATGACCATATCTAAGGATGATGACCATTGAAAAGATGAAAATACAAGTAATGTTATTCAATATTAATAAAGATTACAATTTGTTTTATGCATGCAAAAAATAATTACATTTTAAGCAACACATAACATAACACGGCTTATTAGAACATTTGAAATTCTAATATAAAGCAGGGCTTTCAGCAGATGTTTAATAAAATGTTTTCGACCCCTCAAAATTAGCTTTAGACACTTGGGTTTTAAATGACAGGTCTGCTTGATATATGTAATTAACTCTCCATTATTTAGGGAAATTCTATTTGACTTCTGAAATTGCTAAATGCCAAGGGTCAACTGGAAGCCCTGATAACTTAATATCCATGATGTAGTTTGATACAACTAGTTTAAATTTCTGAATCCAGTTTTATCACAAATACTGTGTTTTGCAGTGAATACGACTGTGTCATAATTTTGGCATATGATCTAATGTAGTAATATCCAAACTAAGGTGATGTCAGAATTAAGAGAACCAATATGACATCATGACATTGCTTTGTCACATTGAAGACCACTGACATGACATTAAAAATTGTGACACTAAAAATATGACAGTCGTCAAAGAAAAGATACTCTTGCTTAAATATTCACATTAATTCTTGATACCGTTTATGTGATAAAAATGATTTTAAATTTGTTCCGATTTCATGAGATTTATAAAACTTGTTATAAGCCTTGCAGAACCTTGATAAATTGAAAACTTTTGACTTGTTTCATAAATCTCATATGAAATGGAAAACATATTTAAGCACTTGCAGGTTTAAAGCTTTCTTTTGATTAGGAAACCAAATTAAAATTACTGTCTATCTGTACGCAAATATTTGTTTGAAAATTCTAATCTGCACATTTTCCCCAGCTGGACATAATCAATATCAAACCCTCACACATTTACATCTTCTATCTATTTGAACTCTTCTAATTCAACGGTTGGAATAGTTCATTATGAAATTTCAGGGGTGAATGAGTTAAGCTAATAAAACATTTACATAAGTTAAGTATAAATCTATACACATGAGTCTCTGACTTTATTTTTCTATAATTTCAGTTGTACTCAGCATTGATATTTTTTTTTTTTCATCTATTATTTTACGGATGATATAGTAAGAGTGGAAAACCCGTTTTAGTACAACATTATCATGTAACTATAATAGGATTTACCTGGTATGTATGTAACAGAATTACAGACAAGCAGATTTCACTCTTCATTTGATTTTTAAAATGTTACATTTATTTACATTAGTAGTAAACCCTTTCACCACCGTAAACCATAATGGACTCATCCATATCAATGCATGGTAGAGTCAACTAAAGTTATATAGGGGTGAAAGGGTTAAGTTTCTGTTTACAACTAAATACTCAGTACTGTTGTAATACATAAGTTGACTATTAAGGTAATAGGATTGTCACAATTTCTCAGCAGAATTTCTTCAAATTTTGTAGTTATATTGCTTTGAAGTAAAGAAATTTTCTACCACAAAAATATATAGGTTGTCAGAATTTTAAGGATTTTAAATGGAAATATGTAAAAAGGAGTGAATTTAAAAAAAACAAGAGGCCCATGGGCCTTAACAGTCACCTGAGATCTGATATATTTATACAGAGAGTTGATTTTTGTTTTTAACAACTGAATTAATGCCTGGATTGCTTTGAAATACTTTAATATTGAGAAAACACACTGCTCTGTCAATAATAAACATACAATATTCACCAGTTGAATATTAAACATTAGAATATGCGGAAATTGTGATACTGTCTCCCTACATTGGATTTTCAACTAGGGATGTACTTCCTATTTCTGTTTATCAATACACTCCTATGACCTTAATCCATGCAATTAATACTGGGTATGTGGACAGAAATTCTAACTGTGGTGATTATTATTTCCCCGAAGTGGAAAGTGAATAGTATTGTTGATGATTGATATGTGCACTGATGAAATTTTTTTGAGAAAAATTTCTGGAATTATCAAGTTCCTGTGAGCTATTCCAAAAACATATGGCATTCCCATTTTATTTTATTTTTAATATCATTAACTTGAACTTCAGGTAAGCATAAAACAGCATGCTAATTTTGATAGTACTAGTTGCATGCAAAACAATTTGAACAGATTTGAGCATGAGTATTAATATTTCTATATCACAGTATCACAATGCAAACAGCTTAGAGATGTAAACATCTGGCTACTGTGTTGCCATGTAACGAACTCGTCTGTATTGTACAGAATAGAAACTTGTCAAAATTATGCCCTAAACCATGGGTTGTTTGAACAATTATATTTACCTACTACATGCAGCATTCATCTGCATCCTGCCTACATTTCCAAGAAAGTTGTAAAATCACAAGAAAAAGTTGTTCTGTTTTAGACCTCATATCAAGACATCTAATTTGTAAAACTCTTAATTGATATTGTTCAAGTTATATGGAAGATGTCTCAGCTCAGGTAGTGTGTTTTTAACACATTTATATTCATATATTTTTAATATGCAGAACGAAAATACTAAATAATTTCTGTTTTGCTTATTAATAACTTAAATTTATCTATAAATAATCCTTTTTTATGGACAAAATAAGTAAAGTCATTGAGGTTTAAAAATTAAGGTGTCATTAAATATTTCTTTACCTGTTGCGTGTTGCCAACAAACGTCTCCGGGCTGCTTCCACTTGTTGTCGTTTCTGAGCAGCTTTCTTTGCTTCAACTTCCTCTGAATCTTCTTTCTCTTTGTAATAATACTTCCCTGGAAATAAAGCGTCAAATACAAGTTTTACAGATGATATTGTGGAAGCATACCACTGCATGTTCTAGTCTGCATTTGTAATAACGGTGATAAAGGTGATATGTATGTCTATTGAGAGGTGTGGCAGGGCTATGATAAAGGTGATATGTATGTCTATTGAGAAGTGTGGCAGGGCTATGATAAAGGTGATATGTATGTCTTTTGAGAGTTGTGGCAGGGTTATGATAAAGGTGATATGTATGTCTACTGAGAGGTGTAGCAGGGCTATGATAAAGGTGATATGTATGTCTATTGAGAGGTGTGGCAGGGCTATGATAAAGGTGATATGTATGTCTATTGAGAGGGGGTTGAAACACTTACATTCATTTCCAGTTTTCTTTTTAGATTTATCAACAGTTTTATTTTCCTTTTTGCTCCTTTTTCTGGACTTTCCTGCTGGTTTGGTCTTCTCTTCTACTGCTTCTTCTTCCTCTTCAAACACTGCCATGGTGAAGGGCTTTTTGTTTCCTGAATAAAAAAATACAAGAAGGTATGCATATTAAGATGACTTATTTTACACCAGTTTTATTTCATATATATCTTTCTTTTTATGATCTACACATGCTATATATATTACATTTAGATTTTGTGAGGAGATTGGCTAGAAGTTCCAAAGCTGCTCTATAGAACTGTAACAATATATTGATATGTATTTGTATCACAATATTTTGGTTGGGGATACAATTATTATTATTACACTCACTAAACCTCTTAAAAATGGTTAAAAACTGGTCTGCATTATAATTAGCCTCTGATCATGTGACACTTGGTCATGTGCCGTAAAACCATATAATATGGTAGCCTTGGACAAGTTCATCAGAACGTCACTTTTTTGTAATAGATATTCCATCCTGTTTGCCCTCTAAAACCTTGCTCATGTTTCTTAGCAATATTTATTATATAATCTTTTACTTTCATGAATCCAACACGTGCTAACAACGTGGTTTTGTTTATGTGGTGTACGCAGATACCAAGCTGTATTACACTACGGCGCATACAAATATAATCCAATCAGTTTTGTGTTGAAACATGTCTTACGGTGACGTATTTGGGAGAAGTGAAGTATTTAATCCATTAAATTTGTTAAACATTGCTAAAAGGCTCAATAGCTTTAGCTAAAATAATATTTGAAGACTTTTCCATGGTTGTAACTTGTTAGCATTTAGCTGTTGCCAGAGGCGTTAGTGAGCGCAAGGAACGACAACTCTGGGTAGAGATTGCTACTAAAGTACAATATCTGACTCACGCAAAGCTGTCTCCACTTTGTCCCGGTTTCTCTTGTCTTCAATTGCAAATTTCTTCTGTTTAACAAAAGAATGTATAATGCAAACTTAATAAAATTAAACCTCAATAAAAATGTAAATATTGACAGAGAACCAATTAATCATCAATGTTAAATGCACAGCAAATTTTTCAGTGCAGGATTCACTCTTTACACTGTTGCAAAATACATTACTTTCCACATGTTCATTTTTCTCAGCAGTGTTTTTTTTATTGCTGTAATAAGGTGAATTCAGAGATCTCAACACAACATCAAATTTCTTTAGTCAAGTAACACCAAGTCTACAGATCTAACAATTCATATTTTGCCAAATAGTGATTTACACTGTGAGAAAAAACAAGAGGCCCATGGGCCTTAACGGTCACACAGTAACAGTCATACAGTACTAATTTTTGTTGTTGAAATATGAAGTGGAGATAATGATGTCAATCATCCCTCCCAAAATTTGAGTAAAAAAAGTTAAGTATAACGTGAAGTTAAGTTTGTCAGGACCATGAGTTGATCATTCCTAAACCAATCAGCCTATTAGAACTTGATTTTAAGTTTGAAATAGTTTTTCAAAATGGCGGCAGTGGCGGCCATATTAGATTTCTGATCGACCCGAAAAATAACAACACTTTGTCAGGACCACAAGTCGATCCTTCCTACCAGGTTTCAGTTAAATCGGCCCAGTAGAACTTGACTTTAAGTTTGAAATAGTTTTTCAAAACGGCGGCCATATTGGATTTCTGATCGACCCAAAAAATAACAACGCTTGGTCAGGGAGTTGTCAGTAACATTCCCATGAAGTATCAATGAAATCCCTTTGACAGTATTTCAGCTAAAGTTGAAAATGTAAATGTAAGATGTTAACGCATGACGGACAACGGACGAAGACAGATAGCAATAGGTCACTTGAGCTAAAGCTCAGGTGACCTCAAAAACTGTTTGCAACTGTAAGTTCATTATAGTCAAGGAAATTTGTAAAATACCTGGTACTCATTATTACTCTTCAATAGAATAACACCTTAAAATTCATGTTTTTTTCAACAAAATGAGTTTTAAATTACATACAGTCACATTAGGAAAATATGAATCCTAAACATAGGAATCACAAGTAAATCCAATGGACTTAATAGGGACAAAAATTTAAAGAAACGTTGTACCATAAAGTTGACAATTTGAGCAACTAAACATGGAATGAAAGCTAAGATTGTTTCGAACACAAACCGGAATTGAAAACTTCTTCAGCTGAAAATGTCCGTTTCCTTTGACACGCAAAGACTGTAAATGACTGGTGTCTTGACTCTAAATCACTATTCATACCAAATTGATGAATAGTATTCCATAAAACCTTAGGAATCAAAAGAGAATAAACTACATAATGACAGTATATGGAGACAGAAACTTACCTTGATATCGTTACGAGTCCTTTTTGGGAACACACTTAGCATCAATGAGAAATCTGTACCAATGTAACTTAAGGCTTTGTAGAATTTTTGGGTCTCTGAAAAAATAAATTGAACATCAGTTTAATCTTAATATTTTTTTCCTTTGTCAGGTATGTATGGCCTGTAAAAAAACTTCAGTCAAATGTTTTGGGAGTAAAACAGAACCTGCAGACGAGATGTTGATTGTCGGACAAGACTTAAGCCCTATAAGCAACCAGAATATTTATGATCTTTGAAATATGGTCCAAAAGATAAAGCTAGACATTTTTTCACAGTACTATATCACTTCACAGGTTATTATCATTATCACCCAATTGATATTCTTTTAGCAGCAGAACACTCAATGTTTACCAGGTAGTTTCATGGTTGATATGGACTAAAGATATGGTTCAAACTCGTTACAAAGGGTGACTCTATCTGGTAACTTAATTTAACCTACAGGTAAATATTTTGCAAGTTGACAAAAAGGAGCATTTTATGCATCTGTTTCCAAAAATACAATCATGGATGGTGATTGGACGGTCTTGAAGTTTAATGAAGGCAGTTAAAAGAACGTGAAATCAAATTTTCATATATCATAGGCAGCAAGTAGGAATGGTAATACAACTGGGTAGCAGTACACATATAAACAGCCTGTTAAAATATCTGGAATAAACTTTGCCCATTTTACTTCTTGCTAAGAATGCTGCCCTGACTACATGTAGTCACATGTACAATACATTACTTTTGAAAGCTTGAAGACAATGAACTCTTACCTTTTTCCGACCATGACAACTTCGTTCGCTGCTTTCTGAAGCTTGTGTAAGTGACAGTACTGTCTGTTTCATCGATGACATCTCCGTCTTCCTCTATAATACTGTCATTGTTCTTTATCACAAGACTGTAATGTATAAAAAAAATTCATTACAACCTACTACATAATGCTAATTAACAAGATAAGGGTTTGGGTTATAAAGAAATATATTGAACTTTTCAAAAGATTAATTCAACATGTAAAATATATTAAATCAAATTACATAACAGTTCATTCTGAAACTACGAAGTCTCATGGAATATGTCTTTCAAGGCCAGGTGATGACAGTTGTGCTTGTAAACTGATCACATTATTGTATACTGTGTATCTTTTGCCCTCTCAAACTTTCCCACTGTGCTGCCAGAATTCGTGTTTTCCCAGTGCTAATTTCACCTTTTGATTTTGTTTACTAAGTTTCTTACATTGTTTATGCCCTAATCACAGGAGGCAAAAAAATAAACTGCAACAAAAATGTCCCGAAATTTAGTATTCATTCCATACAATGTAGCAGCATACCTTTCCTCATTGATAATGATGTTACCATCAGGTCCAATCTTGACCTGTGGTACGGGCATGGCCTCTTCCTCCATAGGTTCAGGGTCATCAAGGTTTTCCTCCTCTGGTGTAGGAGCAGTTAGACTGACCACAGCTTCCTCCTCCTCCTCATCATCATCGCTAGGGGAGACAGATTTCTTCTTCTTTGTATCTTGTCCTGCCTTCTTCCTATTGGAAAAAAAAGTGTCATTTTTTGTGTTTCTATACATACTAACAGTGACTTTGACTCTTGTTACTGAAATACATATACATGTGTACTTACTCCTAACTCTCAAATTTTACCTTTATATAAAGTTTGCTCTGTTAAGAAATTAATTAGCTGAGTGATGTCAATAAATTTGTTGACAAATTTCTTTAAATGCTTTTGACCTTTACATTGGAATCCTGAAACATGAACTCATTGGGAGTATTCCCTACATGACCTTTAATTTTTTCTTTAAATATGACCTTTATTTATTTTACAACAATTATGAAACAAGTTCTATATTTATCACTCTTGTTGACCTTGACCTTAGTCCGCAGGGGGTCTTTATTTGGGAGGAAACCGGAGTACAATGAGAAATCCACATAGTTGGGCAGGTGACCCTATACCATTTCATGTCTGATTGGGGCATTGAACCCCAGGCGTCTAGGTAAAAGGTGAGTACACTATCCACTGCGCCACCTGATCTACCAGTACTTGACCTTTGTATAAAATCTAATCAAAACTTGTTAAAAATGAAGTTGCTAACTTAAAGTGCTTTCTATCCTTTTTCCGTAACTAATGTGTATAATAAAACTATTACATTATTTAATATTTTTAATTGCCCTAGGCAATATGGATTGAATACAAACAGTGTTTTTCTAAAAAAAATGTTTTCTAGTTACTCTTCAATATGAAAGTAGATTTAAAGATAAAATTTAAAATATTTACTTCATTGGATTTGCAGATGGATTCCAGTAAATTAAATCTCCCATTTTTATCTTGGTTCGATCGACTGGAATATCTGTTGGAGCATCAATCTTGGCATACTTCTTTCTTTTGGGAGTGGGAGTCTGCAAGAGAACCAGGTTATAGAAAGTTTTGTGTAAAAAACATTACCATTATGTCTATCCTGCATATAAACCATCCCGTTAGTAAGTAGTGTGATAAAAAAACTGTTCCAATCAAGATTATCACTTTCACAAGTTCAGATCTCACTGTCATCAGGAGATCTGACCTCATTCAAAGTCATCATATCACTGACCATCTAGACATCCGACTTATTCAAGGTCATCATATCACTGACCATCAGGAGATCTGACCTCATTCAAGGTCATCATATCACTGACCATCTAGACATCTGACCTCATTCAAGGTCAGCAAATCACTGACCATCTAGACATCTGACCACATTCAAGGTCAGCAAATCACTGACCATCTAGACATCTGACTCATTCAAAGTCATCATATCACTGACCATAAGGAGATCTGACCTCATTCAAGGTCAGCAAATCACTGACCATCTAGACATCTGACCACATTCAAGGTCAGCAAATCACTGACCATCTAGACATCTGACCACATTCAAGGTCAGCAAATCACTGACCATCTAGACATCTGACTCATTCAAAGTCATCATATCACTGACCATCAGGAGATCTGACCTCATTTAAGGTCAGCAAATCACTGACCATAGAGATTTGACCTCATTCAAGGTCACCAAATCAATTACCATCAGATCTGACCTCAATCAAGGTTATGTTATCACTGACCATAAAGAGATTTTATCTCATTCAAGGTCACCAAATCAGGGGTTCAGTGAACGAAAATGAGTGTAACCCTGAGTATTCATGATGCCCTGGAATATATCATGACAAAATTGAAGGATCTTTATTTGACAGCGTGAGAATGATACAAATAGACTAGACTGATGTCTTTGATAAAGATTGAAGAAATTGCACAGCAGTGCGATGGTAAGTCAACAGGCTTTGTAGATGGTGTAGTTCCAATGTAAATCTTTGAAGGTCAGGTATCTGTCTAGTGATTGGTCAGGTTTTGTTTTACTTTTAACCAATCAAATTGCTTACAGCAATTTTTTGTCATGACAAATTACAAGGGTGTAGAGATGGTAGGTGAATCGAGAGCAGAACTCTTGAATCTGGAAGACAGATGAAGTTCGTCTCTTACCTCTGCTACACTGGTATGGCGGTGCCTCTTCTCTCCCACTGCTGTCTCACTGGTGCTCATCTGTCTTTGCCTACGCTCAATGATGGGTGGCACATCCATACCACTCAGATTGCGATGACGACGCTCAGCTACAGTTGTCTCCCCTGAAGCTTTTGTATCTGAGCTGGAGGCCTGATCACTGGTGTCTGTTATGTTTGTGGCTGGGTAATGGACCTTAAGTTCTCTGGCCACAACGACAGACTTTACAGGTGAAGATAGTACCTTGACAGGGGACTGGCTGTAAAGGCAATAGGCATATCATTCACATTCTCATTCCAAATAATCTTCATACATCACTGTCAAGTACCAATACAGACATTTTTTTTTATTTATGTTTACATTTATTGGTAGTTTTCACCATCAAAATTTTGCAACTATTTTCAAGGTATTGGTTAATATAAATATTGTGTGTGTGTGTCAGACTGTCAACTAGTTATATTAGACTGCAGCAACGACATAAAACATCAAGAATTTAAACAAAATTGTTAAACTATGCAGTTATATTGAAACTAATTGTACTCCCAGAAAAGAGTATACATATTTAGTTCTACAGTAAAAGAAACAAACATGGACAAACATATTTCAGTCAGGAATGACTCTGATCACCTGATGATGGGTCTGGGCATCTTTATTGGAGATGGTGGAGCGCTTTGGTTTATTCCTCCTTTAATGGCCTGCTCAGGAGCTCTGTAAACCACACAAATATACAAGAACTTAAATATCACTGATATTATCATATTGTCTCGACAGCTACATGTAGCTATAGATATACTTGATTCTCACATATACAAATGCTTTTACTTTGACTCCAAACTAAGATAACATTTTGAACAGAGTATTGATACTTACAGTTCTGGGTGTTTATATTTTTTTATTGCTTTAATGGAAGTGTACATGTAGAAAAACACAAATTCAAACCAAAGAAATGTTATGCAGCTTAATAAAATCTGTCCAAAGTCAGATAGCAGAGAATATGACCAGTGACCTATATTTGTTATAAATATAATGGTGGAGTACTTCTAAAGCAGGCTATTAGCCAGCCAACGTCCACCTGTCTTTTTGACAGACATTTTTCTAAAAGGGACCTATTTTGACTGACAACTTACCACTATATAACCTTATTATTGTATATCAGTTTTGACAGGCAGTTTTGTAAAGTTAGTTATAATATCAACATTTTGGACAGGGACATTTGAAATCCTGGCTAAAAGCCTGTTTTAAAGAGAACAAAATACTACAGCTAACTTAAGTCAATGAAAATACAACTATAGGTCACAGTGACCTACATTTGATACATAAGTGTAGTACTCCTCAAGATGTATGAATAAATGAAGTTTGATTACTGTTAATTAAAATTCAACTATTAGAGTAATGGATCTAAAAGCAAAGTATAACCAAAGTCAGCGAAGCAAAAGAAAAATTATATGTGTCACAATGACCTTTAAATTTATTTTGTATATTGATCATGGTGCTATACTCTCTAAAACATATTCACAGATGAAGTTTGATGACTATTGGACTTACACTCTTCAAATTATTTAGAAGAATTATAAAACACAAAGTATATTTGGACCAACGGAAAAGTTAAACTCTTATGCCTCCCTCCACCTTGTTGCATAGGCATGAATCCACATTTTGTTTTCTTTTCAAAATCTAAAAACTTAAAATCAACAAATTTCTTTTCATGATAATAGTCTTACTTTCTTGGTCTTCCAGCATCTGCTAGGTTTGGTCTAGCCTTTGGCAGTCTGTTTCGTGTGATCATCTGCACTTTGTTTTTGGGCGATACAGGTAGCTTGGTCATCACTGGCACTGTATTTCCACCCTCTTTCTCATTAGCTACAGCCTTGTCAGGGTTTTGTGATCCAGTCGTGACTTCATCGTCACAATTTAACGCTTGGTCCTTTTTCACAGCTGAGATTATTTCAGAATTTTGTACTTCAGTTTTGTCACCGGGATAAATATTCCCAACGTCATCGCTGGTCGGTTGTGCGAGTCGTTCAGTATCTTCTTTTGCAATAGATACGTCTTTATCTGGTTCATTCTCCACATCGTCCTCACTGACCTTTTTCCTCAATCGGTCCAAAGTTTCCTTCTTAGGAATACCTTTCTTGTCTGTGGCAGACTTTGGCTTTGTTGAACCTACCTTGGCTGCTCCTACCTTAGGCCCAAGGTTTGGTTTAATACTCAATCTTGATCTTCTTGTCGACATCTTAATTTTTTACACCAAAACTTGATTTCTGAAATTGCAAGAAAAATACATTTTAAGTTCATTACCAGTGCAGGATCATTTAAGATCCTCTACATCGGAAAATATACAACAATAACCAATACATTAAATAAATCAATTGTGACAACAATTCCAATTTCTATAGAAGTTTGGACTTATAATTATATAAAAGTTCTTGATCTTCCCAATGCTTATCTGATCTGTTTTTGAAAGAATTTACTGCTGTTGCAGAGATTACTTGTTCTGGGAGAACATTCCACGTTTTGACTACGCGCAGACCAAAAAGCTTTTTCTTGATATCTAGTTTACAATGCTGATGAAATAGCTTTCTTCAAATGTCAGCTTGTCCCCCTATATAGTTACAATTTGAAGATGAGTACAATTGAACACAAACATTGAACCTGCATGTATCATAATGTGCGTATATTTGTAAACAGTCAGAATGATTTCAAAATAGAATATCTAGAATAAAACAATTTAGTTCGAATACAATGCATGTTCTTAATATATTGATTTATCAACAAATTATCATGCTCTGAACATGTTCATATGCATTGGAATAAAAGATCGATATGCAAGTCCTGAAATGTCTTGAACTGTTACACAGTATAAGGTCAATATACTGTAGCGGAACTGGACTGGGTCGATCGTCGGCGACCAGATAGCTCAATTGGTAGAGTGTCCGTCTAGAGTTCGGAGGGTCCCGGGTTCGAACCCCGGTCTGTCTGTGCATTTTTCCTCTCCTGTTACATTTGGCGTGTAACGAAATATACCCACATAAGGTGGTATAGGGTCTCGTGTCTTCGAGGTTGAAGACTTTGTTAAAGGAGGGAGGAATGTAGCGGAACTGGACTGGGCGATCTTCGGCGGCCAGATAGCTCACTTGGTTGAGCGTCCGTATAGAGTTCGGAGGGTCCCGGGTTCGAACCCCGGTCTGTCCGTGCATTTTTTCCTCTACTGTTACAATACTATAGTTGTGGTGGTGGGAGGTCGGTGCTTGTTTTGGCTATTTTCAGTTAAAAATAAATGGTTCTTCACTACATTTATCAATTCCTTTTTATTCTTGTAAAATGATAAAATTATTTTAACCGAAACTAACGTTCAAGCCTGCTTGAATTCACTCAAAAACACAACATTCAACATTGCATATGGCAGTATTGAACATTATCAAGATTATGACACGAAAACTTTCCGTCTGACTCACATTCTTAGAACGTAGTGTGTTCTATGCACAATGCTTGATATAAATCAACAAACTCGACTCCAGTGTATGGCAAGTCAGGCGTTTAAACACCAAAAATATTTGGAATATGGCATCGACATCCCAACAATATCTCGTGTAACTCATGTGTCGTCCATGGTGGTTTAACTACCCAACTTCCGGTACAGGGTTTTTATATATTACGGACTCGAGTACAAACGGCTCAAAAATGATGCAATGCTGTGAAAGAGCACAGGTAAATGTAGTCGATAAATGATTAAACGATAATCATACTATTTATAAAATAAAAATATATTTAATATAATAACAGATAGTATATAATAACAGCAAAAGTTTAACTTAATCTTAAGTACTTATCAAATAATACATTCAACATATTTTACTCGGTATTACGGACAGTTTATGATATCTGCATGTTATCGACTATATGAATAAACATTATTTCTATAACGGGATAATCTAAAAATAAATTTTACTTCTATATAAATCCTTGTGTTGGTTACTGAATTGTCATTACTAAACTTACATCTCAGCTTAAATCATATGCTAAACATGTGCTGAACACTGACTGTACTGGAAATGCTCTAAACGAAAGGTATGTCAAATCTTACTGTCTAATCACGAAATAAGATCTTATTTAATTCCATCAGAGAACGTATATATACTACTGGCTTTATATGTCTCTGATTCCGTATGTCAATGCAAGACAATAAGATGATGTGTTAATAACTAAGAAGTGAACAAATACGTGTTTAGAGTCTTATTTAAGGTGCTGGGTAAGTTATATCTTTTTTAATCCGCATTGCGGAAAGCTACCTATCAATATACATTGTATATAAGGCCAAAACAATAACATGTGTGTTTCAAGGTAACATACGACTGTAAAAATGAGAGAAGGTTGGTAGGCAAATAATTTACACACAGGCATATAAATACATACACACTTTTTAACCCTTTTATCTTAACCACTAAAAAACTACTGAATAAGACCAATACATATCTTAATGTAATGTAGTCCCCTCCCTCCAACAAGTACCGACATAATCGTCAAAATGGACGGCACCATTTACGGATAAGAAGCAATGAGGTATTCAACAAAATACTATGATTTTAATCTGAATTCTCCAACATAGTTTAGGCCGCAGAAGTAAAAGATGCACTCGCAAACGTTCTAACAGATCTGAAGTTGATACATCATAGTCTGTTTGTATGCTTGATTATCTGTTTAAACTAAGTTGAAATCAAATTTCTTTTCAGAATGTTAATGACGAATCGTTGCCTATTATATGACAGTTCTTTGAGTTTATTCTCAGTTTACATGTAATGCAAATGGTTTCTGTTGTATGTTTGTGTGATCGTATTCACCAATTATGAAAATAAGAAAAAGAAAAGAGAAAAAAATAAGGACGGATCTGAAAAACCACTCAGACCCGGCCCTCAATCCAAAGAATCACGGGGGGAAAACCCCGGATTGGCAACCGGTCGATATAACTTTGAATCACAAACAGGTAGCTATGAAAGTTGGCCATTGGGCTCGATTGAACAAACAAAAAATGATGGCAAACATATAGGGGATGTCGTATCAAAATTTCAATTTCTTATAATATTTGCATAAAAAATAACTGTAAATATCGACTTATATTCTATCAGCTTATATCTTTTTCCATTAGATCGTATAAAAGGCCGATCGCGAAGTGAAATATTTCGTAAATATTATATTTAGACACGATCGGCTATTCCCCAATGCGCATTATCCACGCCATGTTATTACTGTCATTATACAGCACGTGGACTGGAATGCTCATCGTAGATGTTCTCATTACTTCATCAGGGTGCATTGATATGCACATTTTCAAGTTAAGGCTTGCATGTATCAATTAAAATAGAGCCTAGCACGATATTGGAAAGTGGACATACTATTGTACAAATTTATAGCCATCAGCAACATTCTATATGAATTCATGTCTAATACCCAAACTCGAGATAAATGCAAATATGGAATTTTCACCATTTATTTTGCGTCTGCACGTGCGACTTTAAATACCAATTGACCCCGTTTATTAAAATTGACATACCATTGTTATTCCTTTCAAGACTTAAACTATCAGCGAATCACATTTATCTAGATTATTCAATATTTATATTCTATACTTATTTTATTTGAACCATATTTTTCATTATTATTATTTTTTATATTTCTTTTATTAGAAACTTAAAGTGTTTGTCATTGAAATTTTCTCCTTTTTAATTGCAGGAGTCGTGATGTTTTGATAAGAAGTCAGCATGATGATTTAAGGAATAATGGAGCGTATGATTTGAACGTGGAAGACTCGTCCCGAACCAACATGGCAATTTAGGGCATAAGAGGAGAACGATATGTGTCGGTGGTAGGCTGCAACTATACCGTGGAACAACTAGTGTTTTGTTTGCACTTCTAGCAAACATGATCGGAAAGCACGTGCTGCAAATGCACGTGTATTTCGGTCGCCTAGCTGCAGTCGATTTAGATGCAGGATAGGCGATGCTCATCAGCACTTTTGGTCATGCTTGTGCTCAGAACCCCGGAATGAGCACTAGAATTGTATGATGGAAAGCAGTTGAAGACGGACACATGGTCTTGATAATATCGTAACATTCACGGAAATACACAGATGGTATTCCGAATGGAGAAAGATATTGATGGAACGCGCGAACAGATGCGAGTGTAAATGAAGGTGGCCATGCTTTCATCCTCAAAATGGCGGCCCACGAGAAAGGGGCCCGTGAAGGGGCCCGGGGGTTCGGGTTAGGGGAGGTGGCGGGCGTTTTTTTCTTTCTTTCATATTTATTTCCGAGCTTACATTTCCAAATTTTCAAAACAATTCGAGATTCTAAAAATCAGATTCTTATGACTCAGAAAAACACATATACACCCAAAATTACTTCGGAGAGCAAATCTGCTCCGTGTCCTAAAATAAGCCAATTACCAACGGATCTAAATAAGAAATCCTTGCAACTTTTTGAAACTTTTTCGGAGCTTAGTATTTCAACAGAAAGCGTGAAATATTTGCCAAAAGAACACAGAGACCCGAATGACGCAACGATCTATTGCAAGAACTTGTTTCTGAAAGACAGAAAAGGGCGTTTCTATTTGGTAATTTGCCTTGAAGACGAAGTGGTTGATTTGAAATCTTTGAGACAAAAACTTAAAGCTTACAGGAACTTTTCTTTTGCCTCTGCTACCGAGGTATCGTGTATTCTGGGTGTTTGTCCAGGGGAGGTAACTCCGTTAGCGTTACCACAAGACACGGACGGAAAAGTCACAGTTGCAGTAATGCAATCGATCTGCACCCAAGAAAAGCTTCTCAATTTCCATCCACTGGACAAACGATATGCTACTCGTATGTCGTTCATTGACCTGCAGAGGTTTCTCACCAACTGTGGTCATACCCTGGAAAAACTGACTCCATGAAACCTTGTGTAGACTTCTTCTACAATTCTCGGATCAGTTTAAAGGACAATTCGGATAAAAAAAAACTTTATTGAATCTCTTTTCTAAAACATTGGGAATTAAAAGAATAAGCAGTTACTTTTTGTTGTTTTAATTTTTGGTATTGCTGCGTTTAATATGAAACAACGTCCAATCACGTCTATTTTCACGATTTCATTCGTAAGGGTTTGAATTCACAAAACGATTATACACGTTGATGCATAATTGTTTTGATGTCAAAATGTGATACTATGTGGATAATTAAATTTTGTATGTATGATGGTGCGAGATCGCCTTTAATTGCAAGCCAACTGGTAAAAGAACGTTTTGAGAAACATGTTCATTTAGAAGTATGTCGCCGTTTGGTTGGTTTGGGTAAGCGTCCAAGGCAGGGGATCGCCATCTAACAAATAATACATGTAGTCGAACTAAATGATACCACCGTTAGACTCTCGTCGTTACAAATTCGACTAATGATATCGCCAAGATCAACTCAACATCATCATTGAGAGCTACCATGCAGAAAAGCAAATAGAAAACATATGTAATGAGCATGCCTTAGTTGTGAACGCATTGACTCTGTGTAATGGATTATAGGGAAAAGCTGACAATTTAGCTGTTAACTATAGATTAGCTGTATTTAATTGAAAGTTGCTGTATTTATTGAAAAAAAATTACCATTTGAAGTTCTTAAAAAATCAAACAACTCAAGACCTTGCCTGTATTTAACCCGTTTGTAAAGCTCACACACAGTAAAAAAACAGCAACACAAAACCCACATACTACTACATGTATTTACTTTTTACTCAGCTAGCATTAAAGTGTTTCTAATAAGAATTGAAACAGACACAGGACTGTTTAATTGTATTGCCACACAAATTTACGTACATATACTTGCAAAGGAGTGTGAAGTAGACCTTTAACCGCCACCAGTTTTAAAGGTAGGACATGAGATAGCGGCGTCCTCCTAAGTTTTACTTTTGAAGATAGTCTGTCCTAAGAATTCAGCTTAAATTGTTTATCAAGAAAATAACAAAAACGAGATAACTTTGGTGAGATGAAATCCACTGTTGACATTTTCACAGCGACAACGTCAAAGAAGACAAGATTTGAATGCGAGTACCTGACACGTTGTTCCCATCTCAATATCTTTGAAAACAATGTGTAAAAACATGCTCTTTTTATATTCTTCATCAGCAACAGTTCTTTGGGGGCCGCGGTTGCCAAGTGGTTAAGGCGTCAGAAATTCTACTACCGCTAGTCCTTCACCACTGGGTCGCGGGTTCGAGACCTACGTTGAGCAGTCGCCAGGTACTGGACGTAGGTCGGTGGTTTTACTCCGGGAACTGCGGCTTTCCTCCACCACCAAAACCTGGCACGTTCTTAAATGACCATAGCTGTTAAGGTGGCTCCACACATCGTCATCAGCGTCCATTTTCGTGACGTACTTCCGGAAAAAGTACAGCTCGGACTCAATTATCTTGATCGAAATGTGCATGTACACCGTGTCGTCATTTCCGTATTGCGTATCGGGCATTCAATATCGTATTGCAAATTATATTAACCCCTGGGCCGTTTTCGTTTAAACGGTCAAACCGATCGGACCACTGTTGTTCGTTTATGTTTAGATAACTCTACATAGTTGCATAACCATTATATGAAAGTTTCAACGAATTTTGCTGGTTAATTGCGAAAGTGTGGAGCCACCTTAATTAATAGGACGTAAAACAAACAGGCAGCAATTCTCTGGTGTAGTTCTGTGTCCAAACCTGTTTAAAAATAGCCATTGTTCGTCCACTGTTGAAGAAACGTGGGTTCGACAAGGAGGAAATGAACTGTCAATCATATACGATCTTATAAACATGGTTTGAAACCGTAAAATACAGAAGATTGTGTCTTTTGTTTAATAATTTAGATAAATAAAAGTCACTGATGTAATATACATACCAGTAGGCCTACTGCATTTGATGTCATTGATTCCAAACGACAGGAAGATATGCGTTTGGTTCGTTCGTATGAGGCGGACAGGAAGTAGTATGCAAGGGCATGGAAACGCTTTATGATATAATTTGGGAATTTGAATAATTTAAATCTGGATAAATATATATTTGTTTAACCTGGGCCCGTATCAATGAAACCGTTCTCGCGCTCAAGCATGGAATCTATGCGCAAGGAAACTTTCTCTTAGCGCACTAAGAACGTGTGATACGATCAAAAAGTCCCTAACAACCACTCGAAATAATTTTCGGTTTGAAGTCTCTTCAATTTGTTTTTCCAAATCCCTAACAAAATAATCATGTGTTGTTCTTAATTTATCACCGGAACATGAGAACGGGCTTGAGCACAGAATCCGAGTTTGAGCATGAGAACGGTTTCATTAATACGGACCCATTTATCTCTTGCAAGCACCCGGCACCCCCTATCCTCACCATTCCCTACACCACACCCATCCCTCCCATTCCCTACACCACACCCATCCCTCCCATTCCCTTCACCACACCCACCCTCCCATTCCCTACACCACACCCACCCCTCCCATTCCCTACACCACACCCACTCCTCCCATTCCCTACACCACACTCACCCCTCCCATTCCCTACACCACACCCATCCCTCCCATTCCCTACACCACACCCACCCCTCCCATTCCCTACACCACACCCCCCCCTCCCCATTCCATACACCACACCCACCCCTCCCATTCCCTACACCACACCAATCCCTCCCATTCCCTACATCACACCCACCCTCCCATTCCCTACACCACACCCATCCCTCCCCTTCCCTACCCCCCACCCACCCCTCCCATTCCTTACACCACACCCAGCCCTCCCATTCCCTACACCCCCCCAATCCCTCCCATTCCCTGCACCACACCCACCCCTCCCCTTTCCCTACACCACACCGATCCCTCCCATTCCCTACATCACCCCCACCCTCCCATTCCCTACACAACACCCACCCCTCCCATTCACTACACCACACCAATCCCTCCCATTCCCTACATCACACCCACCCCCCCATTCCCTACACCACACCCACTCCTCCCATTCCCTACACCACCCCCACTCCTCCCATTCCCTACACCACACCCATCCCTCCCATCCCCTACACCACACCCACCCCCCCCATTCCATACACCTCACCCACCCCTCCCATTCCTTACACCACACCCAGCCCTCCCATTCCCTACACCACACCCACCCCTCCCATTCCCTACACCTCCCTCCCCCTCTCACGTTTAATGTACAGTAGACTAACAACGATTCAGCATTGGCTTTTATCTTATATAACTAGTACTCAAACCAGATTGAAAGTCTTTGGACAACGTAATGTTAAAATGCTGTCCATCTCAAAATTGTAAATTTCATTTAAAAGAAGTGGATAGATATCAGCTCTAAGCATGTTCCCATATCCTATTTCTGTTTGTGCATTTGTGAATTTGTTCGATTTTTGTGTGAAATGAAAGAAACGGAATAAAATTACACTAAAGAAAGTACTGCTTCATTTCGAAACCATTTGAAGACAATTGTCACAGTTACAAACTTTGTTTTTCTTTCTTGTTTTCATTCATGTTAAATTCTTCAGGCACATTACGAAACTATTTGTACATCTTGGAATCGACCGAGATATAACGATTGGGATCAAACGTTGCTTTGCCAGTTGTAACCAGAATAAATATCTTTAGAGCAATTTTCAAGACTGATTTGACCTGTTTTGGCCTTGCTTGAAGTTAAATATGTGAATTTGCAAAAAAAATAATAAAAAGTAGACTTTACATATATTTTGTATAAAGATATTTACTTAGAGTTCAATATTTTTCCTTAAAAAAATCTACTTCGTAATATGAATTCTCATAAATACATCAAACTTGTTATTTCGCAACCAGTTCGATAAGTTATTTTGTGTATGAACTATTTTATTCTTCATTTTAGATATTTATTATTTTGTCAAAATATTGGCACTGCCTTTCCCAGTTGGTCATATGAAGTAAAATAAAACAAACGGAAAGCAAACGGAAACTCTTGCCTGCCACGGAAAAGAAATAAAATCAATACGGAATGCACCAAATATGTATGATTAAATGTGATCGAAAGCATCAAATAAACTTATTAGGCGAACAGTAGCCGAGTTTGATTCTGCACTAGCTGTAGAGCCGTGACGTCAGTGTTTCCCGAATCAATACAGTGACACCAGTACGGAGAGGGGCCCTCGATACTGATCAATCTATCGATTATATGAGGACTGCACCGCTCACTAAAGAGTTCCTATCGATCAGAGAACGCTAAACTTGGCCCTATAAAGACTGGCTTATGTAATGCTCCAAGTGTTTTATGTATGTACCGTACCACAGTACCATGTTCGGAGCCTCATGACAAGAGATGGACACACTTGTGAGCCTTTTGGTTGCACTGACCATTTTGGGAGCGAGCTTTGCAGCCAGTAAGTATTGTTAAACCCTGGGGGAGGGAGCGAGGGGAGGGGGAGAGCCGTCACGCTACGTATACGTCTCAAGAGCAAGGCATGCTATACATATACTGGTTAACCATTTATAAATCAACCGTATTCTATTCAACGTAATATAAGGGTTTTATTTTATTTTCGCTTGGGTGTATTTTTGTGTGTATAATTTGTATATTTGATGCATATTGTGTATATATTCCATTTTAGTGGAACTTGTTAATCCGAACGTCTGCAATCCGGATACATTGTTTTTCGATTTAAAACTGTACTTCAGCCGTGTTTCTGTAATCTAGAACATGGTTTATTCAGAAATATTTTGGACTTGAAAGCAAACTGTATTATGAGGTTACACTTTACAATATAATGTTACGTTGAATTTATTTCAGGTAATTTCATTTTGAGAAAGCTTCAAAAAATGGCATGTTGTAAATTGTTATTAATTGCATTGGAGTCTCGATAATCCAGCTACATCCGTTATCAGCAAAAGTAACAGGATTATAAGACAGTTGGATAAGTTTTGATGCCCAAAAGCTCGTGTTGGAAACCAGATTGTCGGTGATCCGTTAGTGGGGCAAAATGATTAATGGTGATGGCTGGATTGTGGGACAACCAGATAAGTGGTGGTTGAGTAATGGGACATCGGATATATATATATTGGTCAGATTAACGACACTCCGGATAAGTAGTGTCTGGACTAACGAGGCTATGGTTGGTGGTGGCTTGATTAAAGAGGCTTAGGATCGTGGTAGCTGGGTAAACTTCAGAACTTCCGGATTACTGGTGGCAGGATTAACGTAACTCAAAAATTAGTGGTGGCTGGATAAGAAAGGCTCCGTATGAGTGGTTGCTGCATGAAAAACAAGACTCCGGATTAGTGGTAGATGGAATAACGCAACTAAAGATTAGTGGTGGCGTCATTAAAGAGACTTCGTTTTGTGGTGGATAGATTGACGAGTCTGAGGATTAATGGCATCTGGATAAACGAAACTCCGGATCTGTGGTGACAGGATTAACGAAACTATAAATTTAGTGGTGGCTTCATTAAAAGACTTCGTTTTAATTGCTGCTGGATTAACGAGGCTCCGAATTAGTGGAGACTAGATTAACGATACTCTTCATTTATTGAGACAGGATGAACGAGACTCCTAATTAAAGATCGCTAGTTCCCAATATATTTTAAAGCATTTTTTTCTACAGTCTGGAACTCTTTAAAATCAGTCAAATAACATCTCCTTGGTGTCTAACTTAGAATGGTATACTAACGTATTTTTCTATTTATATGTATTCATTTCTTTACCAGTGAAATATAGGGAAATTTTCATTTAACGAAATATATTTAATCCAAAGAACATACAGAATACAAAACAAGTGAATACAAAGCTTGAAGCGTGCGTGTTTGGCATGGTCCTTAAATAGAAAGAGATTACGACTCTCTAAGTGAAGCGGTTTCTCTGTGTACTTTCATGATTTCAAAGTGTCCAAATGCAATAAACAGACTAAATTATGAGTATGTGTTTAATGTCAGTTATGTTTCAAGAGTGTGATGTTTATCAAAATGTTTAATAATTTATGCTTGACTCGTGGGACAGAATTCTTTAATCTTTCAGAAGTGTGCCATTTAATTGAATAACATTTTTATTTCACGAGTGTAACGGAATGCTTAAACAATTTCATGAGTGTGCCATATATTGAAGTATCATGCGCCATACGTGATTCATATTGGTATTCAATGGGAAACCATTAAAAATATTCTATGTATGCTAGACAAATTGCTAGTTCAAAGTCGTTCCTAATTTGATTCCTTTCTTTTATATCCTACCTTCTCTTATTTTCGCGTTGTGTTTTCTTTTGTACCCGTCTTCATATGACCCTTACTGTTGTGTGAATGTTCAAACCACGAGCAGAAAACCAGTTATATGCCAGACGAGAAATAGCATGTTCCGTTAGAGATCCATTATCGCTGAGAGCATCATCGAACGCCCCATTCATTTCAAGAGTAGCATCGAACGCTCCCGTCACTTCGAGAGAAGTATCGGACATTCGTGTCACGTCGAAGAAGCCGCTGGCAAAATTCCCACACGCGTTATAGAAACGTATAGGCTTCGCTCGTTGACTATAGCTCTCTCTGATATTCAAGGACTTTTGTTTTAATATTTTATTAGTGGTTTATTTGATAATCTAACATGTAGTATCTGGTATTCTCAATTGATGTTATATCCGTTTCTATAGTGATGCAAATGATTATGACATTTTATGGTATGGATACCATTAGTGTTGTATACATATCTAGGTCCACTCTCCGTTACTATAGTAACATGTTATTCTTAACATAGTTATAAGTTGATCATTTGTGTTGTATCTAGGTCCACTTTCCGTTACAATGGTGAAATATCCTAAACACTATAGTAAGTTGTCCTCAAGTGTTGTATCTAGGTCCATTTTCCGTTACTATGGTAACATATCCTAAACTCTATAATAAATTGTCCTTAAGTGTTGTATATCTAGGTCCACTTTCCGTTACTATGGTAACATATCCTAAACTCTATAATAAATAGTCCTTAAGTGTTGTATATCTAGGTCCACTTTCCGTTACTATGGTAACATATCCTAAACACTATAATAAGTTGTCCTTAAGTGTGGTATCTAGGTCCACTTTCCGTTACTATGGTAACAAATCCTAAACACTATAATAAGTTGTCCTTAAGTGTGGTATCTAGGTCCACTTTCCGTTACTATGGTTACATATCCTAAACACTACAATAAGTTGTCCTTAAGTGTTGTATCTAGGTCCACTTTCCGTTACTATGGTAACATATCCTTAACACTATGATAAGTTGGCAATTAGTGCTGAATCTAGGTCCTTGTTCCGTTGCTAGGGTGAATTTATACTCTAGTTATTCTAATGGAATGTCCATTGGTGTTGTTTTAAAGGTCATCATATATCACTAATGTTGACTGTTTTAAATGATTAGATATGCTATGTTTTGTAAATTTCCCTCTTTGATTGGTAAACTTGATTAAATATCACATTTATCACAGTCATGTTATCTATACATATCCTAGGAATTTTATGCTAGTCTTTCACTGTTGGTTAGATCCTACTACATGTACTACAGTAACGAAAATACCACTTAATCTATAAAAGTAACCTCTCTCTCCCAGAGGCTCCACAACAGCCTTTTCCCATAATGAATGATCTACTTTGTAGTACGGTGCCAACTTGCAATGTCAGTGTGACCGACAATGTACGAACTCCTCCATTACATCATGCTATGCAGATGGTGCTCTTAGTATATTGAATTGTATTGATGGTATGGTGTTATAAACATTATGAGGGGTGACAATTTGTAAATAGGAAGAGGTTTATCAGAATTTATTGACATTATAACAAGTGTCATGTAATACTTGTACGCCTTTATTCATTTCTATTTATGTAAGACCTGGTAAATTAAGAATGTTTGTAAAATACATCGATGCTTTCCAAACTTGTGAACAATATATATTACTGGTTTTGTTTTCAGCTTCATTTAAAAGAAGATGTATCAATTAGTTTAGGATAAAACAAATGTCACTCTCAGTCCTAATATTTCGGCCTCCTGGCCTTCTTCAATAGCGAAAGTCTACGATGGATTCAAGTTACGCCCATCTTGCTTATTTGAAAGTTGAAAAAATGTCGAACAAAAACTATGACGTCACAATGACTCGTTAAATCTATGACACGACTAATAACTAATAATTTAATCTTGCTTGTACAAGCATTTTTCATTGGTTTAAAAATTTATGTTATCAGCCCATAACTTCAAAAAATGACGTCGCCGTTTGTAACGTCGCTTTTGATTGGCTGATACTGCAGCGCAATAATTTCTAAGAGAAAAGAGTCCATCATTAAAAGTGGATTTCCACAGGGATTGTGTATAGCAGACTAAACTTTAAGGATTAACTTGAATATATTTTTCATGTTTGCGGTTTATGATGAGAGTACACTCCGGTTTTTTGTGTTATAACATGAAAAAATATATTCATGTTAATCCTTAAATAACACGACTTCAGAATTACAAAACGTTAAAAGAGCCATGCCTCTCATTTAGTTAAATTGTAAAGGGACACATTCAAAAAGCATATTGAGATTTTAACCCAGGACCTCCAAAATGAAGAAGGATGTTTTGACCAACTTAACTTCTTAGTCATTTAATGATACTTTTAAACAAATCAGACTTTTCTCAAACTCTAATTGTCTCACTGTTGTATGCCATTATAGTGAACAATGAGGCTCTGCATGTTCAGGGGAAGTTATGCAACTTTTTGAGGTTGATGTTGGTATTTATAGTGTGCACGCACAGTCAAAGAGCTCCATACCACTGACATTGTTGAGGGTGAATGATGACGTCAAAGTCACGTGATCATGCTATTGATATTCAATTTGGTTTTACATTTATTGTTTTATGATTGTTAACTGAAATGAAAGTATATTACGTACATGTATTTTGTCATATTTGTTTTAGAGACTACCGACCCAAATTGCATCATAGACCCGACCTTTGATGCCATCGCCACGGGCAACTACCTCAACTGTCAAACGGACAAGATGATCGCTGCAGGAACCACAAGATGTTGTACAATAGACAACGTCAAGCGTTGTTGTGAGGAGAGAGAAAGGTAATGTGTCGCAAGGCATTTTGTACAGTAGACAATGTGTCAAATATCGGGTTGTACAAGTTCAAAGGTCATTTGGTAGGGGAGATAGGTAGTGCATCACTACAGGCAAGGTCAGGGGTCATGATAGCCATAGTGCAACATCAGGTTATCGTTGAGTATGGCTTTTCTCCACATGACTGATGTTTGTCCACGAACTGTTCTGGAATTTGCATACATGTACGACAACTCCTGCCATATGTTTGCCTATTGTTGTGACGTTACAAAACATGGACAAAAATCAAAACTCCTCCATCATACACTAATATTGATGACGTCACAAAGCCACGGTACGTTCAAGGTTGCATCATGCATGCAATAGACCTGACTAGTATCATTGAGTGCAAGCCAGCGTAAATAGTTTATCTTCCAAGTGAACTTTTGTTTTTTGAATTTAAAATGTTAGTTAAACATTAAACTCTGCAACAGCTAAACTTGGAGATGACCTTACGCAAACTACTCCTTCAGCATGTTCTTGCTCAGCTTCCCCATACAAATATATTGACCTGTTGGCCACGCAGTTACTGACCAATTAAATATTACCCATTTGTTAAGATAGATCACTTTTCATGACTAAACATAGTATCCAGCCTCACATATCATTGATTGGATTCTGAATCTCTAATTCAATGGGGAAAACGAAACAATGCTGATTTGGATATACTTTCACAGTGTGTTTAATGTTTTTTCATGTCAATCAATACAGAAAGAATTAGCAGTTTGAAATCCAGAATAAATACTTATCACAAGGCTCAGGTTCTTGATCCAAATGCCCTAGCTACATTCAAGGATACCAAGTATGCGTGATAAGTGAGTTAGTGTTTCAGGATACGACGCCTCACATAACTTAAATCTTGTCTGCAAACCATTCTATATGTACTGCTGGCAAAAAGGGTTTGCTTAATCGTCAAGGAAACTTAACTTATTCATCATGCCAATTTTCAAAACACTTGCTATTCTTAATTTGTATTACAATCTTCACGAGAAAAATTGGTCACATAGCATGGACGTGCCGAAACTTCACAAGGATCGAACGTTTTATCGCCGGCTCTGCTACATGTAGTTGCTAAGCCAAACCAATGCCCAAACTGTTCACTATTTTAATTACTATTCCTAGAACCATTACATCAGGGTTATAGCCTTTTGTAATTACTATATACTATGAGAGTAAAATTAATGGAAAGCAGATTTTGAAGAACTCAAAAGATCAGTCTTGAACAGCTTTTCTTCAAGTTTCCTTTATTAGAACATTTGACTCTTCCAATATTACTATTACTTAACAAACGGACGGACGCATCCTATCTCTTTCTATGAAAGCCCTCATACATGGTTATATGTTTGCAAAATGTTTGGGGCATATTTTTAGCTTTCAACATTATTAATTTAAATTGTCTAACCAATATTTTGTCTTGCACGATTGATATGAACGTCGTATGTGTATTACAGATGGGCTAGAATAGTCATCATTGGATGTGCAGTGGGAGGGGCCATAGTAGTACTGGCTATCGTTATCTTCTACGTGATGTGGTGTAAGCGAGACACTGTCCCCTGTATCGGACTCTGTATGAGATATACACAGAAGAAGTACTACGCAGTGGAGGAGAGTTTCTGGTAAAGTAGATAACATGCTTCAACATATATCCAGGGCTTACGCTCACTTTCGCTCCCTGCACCCGTGGACTATGTCATAGGAAACTTTAAGGCTCACGCCGCCTAGCTATTTGCTTTGTTACAGGTTAAAAAACCCTAACCAATTGCTAAGCTGTTACCTGTCCTTTGAAGACTAAAGAGGAGCGACACCCGACTTCAAAGCCACTCAATTTTACCATTACGCGACCGACATATACCTTTGATGTACATTAAAGTATCAAACTAGTCTTATTGTCTCATCCACAACGTGGTGCACATTGAGTCTTCGATTTTGCTTTGACATATTCCAGGGGTGCGGAGAGCGAAAGTGAGCGTGACCCCTGTAGTACCGAGGATGACTGAGATTAAGGTGTGGTTCATTGTGGCGTTATTTCCGTGCAGCACCTATCGCAACTCCAATTATAACGCCTATAATATTTCCCCTCAGAATATTCAACTAGAGTACGCGTTCACGTAATTGATATATCGTTGTTATTGAATATAGATATTGCAGAACAAATATACTTTGTGGGATATTAATTTTGTCATCATTTTGCGCTAGGAATGATCGCATATGTAACCTAGGACATACATGTATATTTCGCAGTTGTCCCTTTCAGAACTAGTTTGTTGGGATAGGATTTCGTGCAAGGTTGGCAGGTAAAATTATTGCGCTAAAAAGGGAACAATTGATTTTGTATTTCTGTTATGGGATTTATTTTTGTTTTCAAGCGGTGTATCAAAGTAACGCAAAATACGTTATGGAATTGTTACTTTATCTCAGTTATTCGGCATTAAAGGTGGAAACAGGTCTTTGCTGTTATCTCTGTGTATTCATGGTGTTTATATTTGCTGGGTATTTATTTTCGCGCTGTCGTCTGTGACTGAATATATCGAAATTAAATCCCCGCGAAAATTAACAACTATACAGTATCTCGAAGATGAAAATATGCTGGAAAAAGTCAATGCCGAGGGGATGAGTTATGTATTTTGTAGAGGGGGAGGGAACATGATGATTCATTTCCTTTTTTAATATTTCGCCTTTTATTATTTTAACAGTTGTTGCGAAGGGCGAGTAATGAAAAGGCGACAGAAACAAAAGTTAAAGAAGAAATGCAAGGAACGACAGGCCATTGCACTAACACAGGAAACAGTCGAGGATATAAAGAAGGTAGATCTCGCTCAGGAACAACTCATCCAAAGTTAACATATGCATTAACAGAAAGTGATCTGATATGTGTATTCTTCATATTCAAGAAACTAAATTGCATCCACCTGAGCACGTTCTGCATCATGACTAATATAATCTTCCTCTACCTTGAGAGTGTGACAGAGAAATCTCCAACCCGAGGGATGGTTTTTTTGGTTGTCTAACCCGAGGCTCGGCCGAGGGTTGGATAACCAAAAAAATCACCCCGAGGGTTTGAGATTTCTCTGTTACACCCTCAAGGTAGGGGATGATTATTTTTCTCCCATCCTATTATTTCAGTCACAGCCTCACCAACAGTAGTCTGCTATGTTTGTTAACAAAAATACACGTGGGGTATGCATATCGTCATTCACTTTTGATGACGTCACAATTACCGATGCTGTATTTTAATGTCTAGGGGGTGACAAGCTGATCTTTCCCGGCTAAAATGGGAGACACAGCTGTGAAGGGTGGGAGAAAACGATTTCTTTTCCTGAATTAATACCAAATATGTATCAGGAGGTTACCTTGTTAACACGTAACGTTTAACGCACTATATTCAAAGTAGTGTTTCATATAGTAAAATCAGTAAAATATTCATCGGAGACGTTTCCATGATTAGAACATGTTTTATGTTCGATGACGGTGGCAGGGAACATGAAGTACAAGCCATCGTAACTTTCACTGGCTGTGCTACATGTATATACATGTTTATACAATCGATGCTTCCCAACGAAATGTTTTTTTATTTTTAAGATTGTATTTACAATCTAAGACTATCAGGTAATGTCTCTGTGAGTAGTTATATGCGATGTATTTAAACACAGAGGAGGCCTAAGAAAATTGAATTGAATGACTAAATTAAAGACGGTAGTTTTTTGAAATATCTTTGGTCATAAATTTATATCGCAGAACGTATTTAAACACCCAAAAGTTACGAACTGTGACGTGCAAATGATTGATAATTTCTGGAGGACAAGTAAAATACAACTTAGACTAATATGAGGTCTTTATTTATGTAACATTTGTATGAATTAAGACTGATGCCGTCTTCCGAAAGAAATGCTCCCTTTACAGGCTTTCGTGTACGTTATGAACAATAACGCCGATTCCATTGTGCAATATACATACAAATGTATACAGCGACTAACACACAAGTAATATTACAAGTGTTTCAGATTAATCAATATTCCATTAAATTACATTTTACATATTTGTGAATCAGATAAAGTAAAATCTCTCGTATCTACCCGAGTATAACTAGCTCTGCGCCAGTTTGTTTCCTGACATGGCACAGTGTTGGTATGTATTCAAAGATTGGATTCTGCTTATTTTGTTATTTGAAGAATTGTAATCGTGATTTTCTGATTGCTGTGAATCAAAAATGGTTAATCATCAACGTTTGTCTTGGTTGGTTGTTTACGTAACTAGGGCCATCCAATCTATATTGGTGGATACTGGGCATGTCTTCTGCGTGTGCGGTAGATACAGATTGCAATTACTGCATGTTAGATTAAGGTTAATCGACAGAACCACATCAATAATGGATGGGGTATATACATATGTTGTTTGGCTAAGGTATCGGTATGCTATCTACTTAAAAAAAAGGTTCGCAGAAAATGTACATTTATTTTCATTTCGTTATTGATCTTTTGAACTTAAGTTTACTGGTAGTATGCCATTTTAGATATGGAATAAAATACCACTAACTTGCTTTATATCAAATCCAGTAGTGAAATATAGTGGAATCTATCGAGCAGAAAAATGTATTGGAAATGGAGAGATGAACTCTGCAAGATCCTCGAATCAATCACTACATTGTCTGCCATGCTGTATAATGTATGTGTATCTCGCTAGCACGCTAACACAAATAATCAATGTTTATGTAATTATATAAACGGACAATACGCCGTGATCCCAATTATACCTATGGGGGCATTATGATTACCTTCATCAGGAGTCCTGTTGAAATATTAACAATCTGACTTGATTTAGGACCAGCTCTAGTAGCATAAATCTGGCTAGTATGCCGACCTGTTTGACAATAGCAATATTGATCGTACAAGTCGTCCCGGCAAATTCCGAAGTATAAATAAACATGAAAACAATTGCCAGGATGCTGTTTTGAGCGATGCAGTGTATTACATTGGATAAATATGTATCTATGTATTATTATATATGTCTTATGTGCTAGATGTTTTTAGATATATTAAAATATTTCCTTTGTAATGATTTTATAGAAATATTTATCCATTGTGCCTATATTATGAGTTTTGTGTAATGAATTAAGTTCATGTTATCAGCCTTGAAGGATACATACAGTAAAACCTCGTTATACTGTCTCCATTTGTCCTGAGAAAAATGTGCTTTATAAAGGGTTTAGACGATAAATTGAAGGAAATGTATAAAGGAATTCATAGGACAACAGGAAAAAGTGGACATTGGAATATGTTGGCGGTAAACAAGGTGGTGAATAAAACGAGGGACTCCATACCGAGGTTTGACTGTAATGTTGTTACATGTGTTGATTTGTTAAGCCTATACCGGTACACCTTGAGTATGCACAACGAATAGTTAAACAATACGTATACAAGTATGTTCTTACATGTATAACAATGTATTTTGTTTTTTTAATCAATCGAATCGTCATAATAATGCCAAAATTATAACGTAAAGTTATATGTATGCATATACTTGCAACTTAAATACACCAATGACTTGCGTCTGATATACTATCTGATATATAATTTGTTTTAAAGACATATGTTACCACACTTATACTATGACATGCATACTATTTCCAGGAGAGTTTCACATAAAAATATACAATAAAAAAACTAAAACATATGTTCGGAGATTTTAATTGAGATTTTTGACTTATTCATTGGTGGCATATTTGACTGGTACCTAATAATATATTCAGGCAATTCTGAACTATTGATACAGACTGAATGTTTGGTAATATATATTACTGAAACACAAATTATGATAGAATGTTTAAAGTTGCATATGTCCTTAATCATAGAAGCATATACACTTATATGTATATTTACAGAAAGTAGAATTGATTCTGTACACTTTAATTAATTAGATATCTGAATGCATGATGGCTGTACGAGATTCGATGATTTACCTGTCCAAAACTATATAATTAAAGGAGAGAGTCCCATGGTCTTGTGTTGTACCTAAAACGAAGAAGAGTTCTAATTTGTTCAGCATTTTACTGACTTAGATTTGCTTTCCCATTTTCTTTAGCAAAAAGTTATAATCGAAAGAAAGATATTGCTTGTGATTTACTTTTTTCATATAAATATTCACTCTTTGGATATTCGAGAATCAAAAGGAAATGACATATTTAACAGAAAAATAACTTTTTAATATCTGTATGTATCAGAAAAAGGACGAGACTCTCTCCCTCATACAATTTTCATGATATTTGATTAAAAAAGAGTTATTTGGTCTGTAAATAATTTACAAGGCGTATTCATTTAATTTAGCAAAATATTCTTCCAGTGCAATACCTGTTTTTAACCGGTAAAACATATTTTTCCGGTGTTAATTTCACCATTGGCAACGAAGTTACTATGCATCATGAGCTGACAAAATCCCTCATTACAAAGGCTAAAACGTCAAAGGTTAACTGCGACGAATATTTACCAGTAAATTGTAGTGGTTTATATATAACTACTTAGAAACTGCTGTTGTCTAAATTATTTGAATATCATATATTTTAAAAACAATAAATCATAAAATGATGCAATTTTTTGTTTGTTTGTTGTTAAAGTCATATGCAGTAAAATCTCATGATACTGCCACTTTTTATCCAGAACAGTGTTGGCTTTATAAAGGGGGTTTGGCCATTCATTGAAGGAACATTATAAAGGAAAACTTAAGAAAAGAAAAAACAAAATGTCCTTTAAATATGATGGCGGTAAGCGGGATGGCAAAAGAATATATGGGCATTAGACAGAGGTTTAAGTGTATTGAGTATTACAATTTATTATTTGGCCTAGCTGATGACGTATAATGACGCTATCTCCACCAAGTCTTGAGACCTTTCTGTATTTTTGTTTGTTTTCAATAATGCACGCGTTTATTGCTACATGTTGTACTTTTTATGACCTCTTCATTAAATACAACAATATTTTCAAAAGAAACGTTTGGTTGGGAAAATATGACAATAATTTGTACACTTATTGAATGGCACAGTTTTGCCTTCAATATCAGGTTATTATTAATGTAATAGTTCACTGAATGATTGTAAGCGACGTTATGAACAAGGGGATCTGTTAAAGGAGTACCCTTATGTCACAAAATGCCTAAAATTTAACTACATTTAGCTATGTTTTCATTCATTGAAATTATTGAACTATCCACAACCGGTTTAAGCTGTTTAAAAGGAAGCATGCTCAAGTTATATGAAGAGTTTTCATGAACGCACCTATCCCTTACTGACATGAGTATATTCGGAACAAAGAAAGGTAACATTGTTTTACCAAAAAATAATTAGTTTAATGAAGCAGACACGATGATTTATTATACTCCCATGAATGTTAATAAATGTCACATATGTGAATAAAAAAGTTCCAGTCTCGATGAGATGATGATCAAAGGAATTGTATTCTATATGTTGTGATCACTTATTCACTCCTTCAAGGATTTCACGCATATTTCACATAACATTAAAATTCTTTGATTAAATTGTTCAGCCCCTGGTTTTCGTCAGGATCTTACAAACATGCTACAGGTTCAAGGTCATATCCATATTGTCAGTTTGATTTCCCAGCTGCCTCATATGGAGAGCGATTTGTTAACAAAATATATTGTTTCAAAGAATTCACACGCAAACAATGCAAGTGAAATCCTGAGGATATTTGACGCTGAATTAATCTATGGCTTACCTACATCGACACGCAAAACGTATTAAGACTTTAAAAAGATAAAATTATGATATCAGGTTGATTACATCATGTTGACACAGTTCTAGACTCTGTCCTGGGGTGTGGTAACAGGGAAGACGTCTCGTCGTTGATTTCAATTGGTACTGGGTCTTTCATAAATATAGAATTCAGTTTGTTCTGAAAGATAATGAGAAAAAATAGTTGAAACATCGAGACAATATTCATTATCGTGACAGTATTGGCACGCCGACGAGCCTAGACAAAATGTTTTTAAATGTAAGTAATGTAGGATGAATAAATATGAACGTTTCATCAATTTTACATTTTATCAATTCAGAATCTTGTTTGAATGTATATGTATTGATTGAAGTATTGAATCTTGACATTGCAGTTCAGATAGTTTTTGTAACGATAACAAGGGTTCAATAGGCACCTTTCCTTTTCAGCTTCATTCAACATTATTTGGTGACCCTTAAGACAGGGACTATTTATTTGTTTACTTTCAATGCCACTACTGAGCCCTAAATAGACGAGACGGCTGTATGGTGTAGTAAATGTCTCCAAGCAAAATTTCCATATAGGTGCTTCTTTTCTTTGATTTATTACTGACTATTGCAGTCTTCAGAAAAACTTGATTGAGCTACGTATCATTTCATGCTGATCTTTCCCCTAAGAAACTATTTAGCAACACATTAATAAAGGTCATATATGATTTAAGATACTTTTGATTACTATAACATATCGATATTAAAACAGTGAAATCATTTTCATATGTAATTTTTATATGTAACTTTTATGTAACCTAATAACAGCAGCATACAAATCAATGATGTATTTCAAGACTTTAACATGCCTTGAATTAAGTCCACAGGGACAATGAGAAGCTTAATTTCACAGAAGTTACTATAATAAATTAATTGGTAATTCAATAAGACAGAGGTGGTACGCGATGTTACGATTGCTGCCATGCTCATAGTAAAACTGGGCGTTAATAAAATAATTACACAATAGGAGATCAATTCTGTAAATTAATTTGTTTTGACTTTAATCCGCGAGGTGACCCTATTGTGAATTTCAATCTTCTGCGAATACGAATTTCATATATTTGTACTACCTATTACTACTTGTGTCAGTCGATTATTAACTGGTCTAATTTTTGGCAAGGTTTTCAAGAAACTCTTGCCAATAATTATATAAAAAAACCTTATAAAATAAATTTTCTTTTGTTATTAGAATTGTTTATACCGTTCAATAGGGTTTTAGAAACACATACCTCTTTTTGCTGTATTTTTATATAAATATATGCTTCGAAATACTTCAGATATAGAGTTTCATTTTTTTGATATTAAGTACATCTGATGAGCCCTTTACTGACTATAAATAACAATAACAATATAGTACCGATGAAACACTTTTTTAAAGCTTAATCCATTGAAATAATATAACATAAGTGTGTACTTCCTTACCCCGAATTACTAATGATTACTTACCTGCCGACTGTCCGCCATATTGGTTGCAACGCTGAATACAGCCGACAGAACAGACAGCGTGAACAGTACCCAGAACACGATTCGGTACTTAGATAAGAGCTCTATTGTGTCAGAACTGAAACATAATCGGTACCATCGTTGTATTTCAATATTGTTCCTTTATGATGAAACATCATGCACAAATTACAACGTGATGCGCGCTTTTATTTTGAAGAATCCAAACGATCTTCTCATATGAACATGTAGTTGTAGTCTAAGGAAGATAACTCCGTCCAAAAGTAGTAAAGCTGATTCTTTATCTTTATCCCTACAAACTACATGTAGCATCTCAAGCCCTCAGTGTTGAGAATGGTTTGGACTGGGACATTTTATTTGCAGCTAGCGGACGGTGACGACGTTCTGGTGCTGTGTAAGGTTATTGCTGTCATGTAGTGTATATTTCATCCTCTTAATATAGAGTTGTTTTTGAGAGCGGCCAGTGTGTTAGGTCTCCTTTTCTGAATGTATGGTTAATGTATGGTTAAAGTATGGCAAGTCTTTATTTCACAACCGTTAGTTTCGTGTCATCAAAGTGCTGCCTCTCTAAGCAGTATCGCGAACTTTCTCTTTTTATGTAACACAATCCCTGTCTCCCCCATCAGATTCGGTGATAGTTGTCGACTGCTGGCGGATACACTTACTACATAACATTTAGAGAAATGCAGGTTGATGAAGACTTTAGGCAAATGATAAAGTCGCCATCATTATATCATATGAAAGGATTTTTTCGATTTGTACATGCAATATTTGCACAGAAATAAACCGACTTTTCCGTCCCTGAGTGCTAACGCTGTTTGAGTTGACTTGTTTTACTTGACATAAAGTAAACCTCCGTTATACTCCCACCATTTGTCAAGAGAAATTTTGGCATTTCAAAGGGGTTCGGCGATAAATTCCAATAAATTTATATGAGAATTCTTAAAAAAGCAAGAAAAATTACTGTAGGTTTTAATTAGGTAGCGCTTCTGTAAGACTCTCCTCTGATCCGACAACTTACCTTTCGGTAGTTCCCATGATTTTCCCTACGGCCAAGTTTGTCATTCCAACTCCTCCACTTTGCATAAATATAGCTATCCCAGCAGCCGTACCAAAGGTATCAGGTTGTACCAACATAGCGAAACAAGGCCATACACACACCTGATGACAGTTAGATACCGTATATCAGGATGTTTTCCTTGAGGATGACATTTTCGCAATTTCGCGGGTTAATAACGTGTTAGCGAAAATATGGTCCACAGCATAATATAACAAGCGCAAAAATTGGTCGACGTCTTTTATTTGTCTACGCCTAGTATTTCGTGCGTTATATGTATACTTACAGCAAAAGTGGTGTAGGTAATTCCAAGGTATATTGTCAGCACTAGAGGGTGAATACTCGAACAGTACGACAATAACAAATACACTGGTGCTGTCAATATGGCGGAACAGCTCAAAAGTAGGCCAGTACATCGAAACTTTTTCTGAAATATGAAAATTGTTTGCGTTTCACCTTTTTTTCTTATTTCTAAAGCATCTAATCTCATACATGACTTTATTACCTCGGTATACATGTGGTGTTTGAGTAATAAATTCAATATTCATTCGTAACAGAACACATTCGTCTGACATTCTTTGGATTTCCTAATTTGTATTTCCATAAATAATATAAATGAAAGTGTCATTTTCGAGTAAGTTCGATGATGTACTTGCATATTTACATCCAATTGTATTTTGACTGATAAGACGTTACGCGATTCCGAGGACCTCAACACTATATTCTTTTAATGCACACGATTTGCTTCAATTCTTTACACGAGCTTTTATTATTGAATTAAGAGAAAACTCTTAAACCGAAAATATCAGACATGACATTTTTTAATTGTACCCGCTTTTGTTGAAACCCCCGGTAAGTATATGTTTATCTGTAGTACTGACGCTGGATATTCGTTTTCCAGCCTCTTTGTTCTAAATATCAAACTTTTCTTGATAGATTTCTCCTTTTTACCAATCTGCGATTAAAAAAGTCCTTGTTTCTTATGTCCTTGATTGTTTTTGACTTACTTTCCTGTATTAACCTATTATCCATACATTTGTGAAGGGTCCATGTATGGTTCGGAATCTCTTATCGGGGTATTTTGTTACGCCTGCAGTATTGTCTTAGAGTTTGTAATTAAATTCATTTTGCTTTTGCTGTCTCATGTACATCACTGAGGAATATTTTTGTTTTATTTTACCTTAATGTTACCTATAGTATATATTTACTCTAAAAGCTACATCGTGTAATATGTAATACATGTAGTTAAAATTACCAGCAACAGTCCTAGGAACGGTGGGATGATGATGGACACATCATAGACAGCTCCCACATAATAGGCTGCCGTAGTTTTAGAATACCCATATCTGTCTTGGATGTATTTGCTAAAACAAACACCCAAAAAAACATACATGTACTAGTATTCTACGATGTTTCAATCAACCATAGTAGCGTCGCATAGATTAATGGATATTATCATATTCAAATGGTTAAAATACTTTGGTTTATTACATACCTGCCATTGCTGATCACGGGCAGATAGGCGGAATAGTAACATACCGCTGTCACACACAGGAGCCAATATGTTTTTGGTAGGAGGCGGATGTTCTTTATTTGTCTGCTAAGCGTCTGGGAAATGTTGTATATTAGTTTTCATTCAAAATTTGAATCATTTTTTTTTATAGTTTATCTAAGATTCATCAACAACATCGTATTGTTACAGTATATAACAACAGTAATACAAGTTAGTAGTTTGAACTGCAAATCAAGCACCAGAAATATTTCAGTTTGTCTGGTAACATTTGTACAGCTCTGTTAAGTGTTACAAATCCAAGCGAATATGCTTTTTACGATAAACGTAATATCAATTTTAATTCTGCAAGAAAAATATAATAACTTGAAATAAATGAGCCTCATACAGCAATAATGGACGTTGTAATAAGCATACATTTGTTGAGTTTATAGGTGATCCTTAAGTTTTCGTTGTCACTATCTTGTTTTTTTAAATCGTGACATTACTTGGATTTGACCTATCTTCACATTTCAGGTGTCACCGAAGATGCTGAAGACAAGTATCCTTCAAGTACATTTTAAGTTGTTTTTCATCGAATGAAAAGACATTTTTATAGAAGATATGATCACGCGCATTGTAGTGTTTCGGTAAATTCATTAAATACGGCCAAAATAATTTTATATATATAGTTTAATGATTTATTATTAGTTTGTCATATTAATGATACAATGTTTATGTAATTTGCTCACAATCCGCATTATGTTTTAAAGTCATACCCAAGAGAAAAAAGTGCAACGTCAATCCGCATCCATTGACGGTGATTTTGATATGAATATTGAATTGTTTTATTCAAACACACACACAGCAAAATAAAAACAACTTACTACAGGCTCCTCAGACAGATCAGGGATAGAAGTTAACTTTTTATCTGAATTCTTTTTTCCATATAATTCAAGCACCGACAAAAATACTGCACTTAAAACGGCTGTACTACACAGGGCTGCACCTAAATGAAAATATAAAAATTAAAAAACCAATTGGAGTTATATTGATTTGCATTATTCACGTACCATATTATTCTTGGTGATATGAAATGCCTCAGAGAGTATGTTTTGAATGTCTGTACGCCTTTCTTTTTATCTTACCACTTTTCTGTCGGTTAATTTAAATACATGTATTCATGTCCATCCAAACTTCCAGGATGTTCTTTACCTGAAAGACACTTCTTATGTTTTCCCGTAGGAATTCAGTACTTAAGTTAAGAACACAAATTAAGTAAGGAAAAAGTCCTTAACTTCAATAATACTCTTCTATTGCAATCAAAGGAGCATTCGTGAAACTATGGCTTAATTAAACGCTGATTGTGGTACATTGTAACTCTTAAAAGGTTTCGTCAATAAAAATATGCTATAGCCAAAAAACCAAACAAACAAATAAATAAACTAAAACAAACTAATCATTGAGCAATAGCGTAGCATAGCTAACATATACCTGCCCACATATCCAATGTCATATGTACATAACGAAGTACAACTAATCGACACAAAGCTCTCGTGTCATACATAACGAAGTACAACTAATCGACACAAAGCTCTCGTGTCATACATAACGAAGTACAACTAATCGACACAAAGCTCTCGTGTCATACATAACGAAGTACAACTAATCGACACAAAGCTCTCGTGTCATACATAACGAAGTACAACTAATCGACACAAAGCTCTCGTGTCATACATAACGAAGTACAACTAATCGACACAAAGCTCTCGTGTCATACATAACGAAGTACAACTAATCGACACAAAGCTCTCGTGTCATACATAACGAAGTACAACTAATCGACACAAAGCTCTCGTGTCATACATAACGAAGTACAACTAATCGACACAAAGCTCTCGTGTCATACATAACGAAGTACAACTAATCGACACAAAGCTCTCGTGTCATACATAACGAAGTACAACTAATCGACACAAAGCTCTCGTGTCATACATAACAAAATACAACTTACCGACCCAAAGCGCCCAAGTGAAACCAATCCAGTTAGCGATGTTGGCGGTGAGGAGGAAATTGGAGACATTCCCTAGGCGTAAAGCTACTACATTGATGCTGAAAACTATGGAAAGGTTATCAGCAAACCACGTCCCAAGGATACGGTCTTGAACAACTGAAACAATCGATTTTTAATTATATGATGTCTTTATTATTATTCCTGAGTTCCAACTCTAGACTATTACTATTATGTGCTGTACTATTCGAAACTTGTTCAACACCATGACTGCAAGAAATAGTTTGAAAACAACTTGATTTCATTGAATGTTTGGCAGTACTTTACTACTTTACTTTAACGTACTATAGGTTTATATTTTCTAACATATTAGAGGCCCTGGATTCTCCAAAACTAAGGATAAGTGTCATAGACAAATTCCAATGTGCACGCGTACAAGTAAAAGTTTCTCACTTACTCAAGGCCGTTCCTGTTCCCGCTCCGAGAAGCAGACGACTGCAGAACATCAGAGGGAACATGACAGAGGATCCCCTGATATGCCCGGTAACAGTTAAGGCAAACAACGATGTTCCTAACCAAGCAACGCATGTTGACATGATAGCAGAAACTATGTTATAAATATAAAATAAGGATTTACATTATATTTCATTGATAATTGTCTTTTACAACATATTAGAATATGTTATAATAAAATGATTTCTTCACAAGTAATAGATTTTTTTTTCAAAAATAAAATGAATCCACTATAAACTAAAGTTATTTATTCAAAGATGAAATTAATCCCAACCACTTTAAACTATCACTATTTAGAGTTAAGCAAATTAAACATCAACCAAAGAAGTTTACTATGCATCTTAGTTCTTAAAACAGTAAACTAAATCAAACATTTGTTATGATTTTTAAAAACAATGCTTTACCGCGGTTTCCGACTCTGTCGACGAAGTATCCTCCTGGTATCACCGTAGCTGCAGTCCTATATAGCATGTGCAAGATTAAGAATACATGTACATTGTATAGGTTTATCTATTGCCTGAAATTGTCAAACAGTCACGACGACGACGATGTCTATATGTATTCTTATATATCTGTATGTATGGTTTGACTTTTTTCTTCTTTTCTCTTTTGTATATAAAGCTAATTTTATTCTAGATATTAAATATAGATCAACTGAGCTGGGAATTAGGATTCTCGAATGACTTCATGAGATTTGACATTAAATATTGTTATATTCTATCATATTATATTAAACACTAGCGGAAAAAAGAAACTGTGCATGCGGAGAATTGTTATAGAACAAGTATTACCAACTGTATATCCATGAAAATTCACACACAAGACCGAGTTTGACACATACACACTATCCGTGTGTCATTGACAGTTTTTCCCGTGCAGTTTGTTCTCTATAGGGGTTGACCAGTTTGCACGTTTTTCTCGTCCAGCCATCCGGATATTCGACAATGAAAGTTTATTTTTCAACTGTTGGGTCACTCTGTTGAGACTAGTGAACAATAAAAACAGCATTATAACGTTTTAATTTGTGATTAATGCTATGCCGAGGCTCAATGAAAATGATCGCCTCCGGATTATTGGTATGCTTCAAGCTGGCCATGCCAAGCCGTTGTCTCTGCACGTTTTCATGTCCATCGAAACACAATCCGGGATTCGTGGAGACGACATCAACAGTTTGGCCACGTCGGCGATCGACCTCGTGCGGGACGTCCCCGTGTGACGTCATGTCAACAGGACAACCATATTCGGCATGTCCATTTGAGAAATCGCTTCCAAACGGCAAGTTTGACTGCGCGGACAATCCCTGGGTTGCTACCAATAAGCCCGAGAACTGTACGGAACCGATTGCGTGAACGAGCTATCCGCCCAGTTCTTCTGCCATGTCATTTTACTGGTGCAGAAGGCATCTACGATTTACTCGACGGGCAGGCATGTTGTTTACGGACGAGTCGCGAGTCCACCTGGATAGTAGTGACGGCCGTTCCAGAGTGTATCGTCGCGTTGGAGTACGTTTCCGTGACGCGTGTAAGGTACAACGACGTTCTTTCGGCGGAGGCAGCGTTATGATTTGGGGCGGCATCTCAGCCAACGGGGGAACGCCTCTGGTAGTTGTTAACGGGAATTTGAACGCGCTACGTTACCGTGACGAGATCCGCCGGTCCCTCGTCGTTCCATTCGTGCAAGGGCAGCAACGTCACATTACGCTACAACAGGACAACGCCAGGCCACATACTGCTCGTGTCGCTATGGACATTTTGGCCCAGCAGAACGTTGACGTGTTGCCGTGGCCTGCGGTGTTCCCCAATCTGTCGCCCATTGAACACGTCTGGGATGAAATGAAGCGCAGATTACGGGCATTACCTAATCTACCGGTGATGTTGGCTGATTTGGCTGCAGCGTTGGTACAGATCTGGAATACCATCCCACAAGCATTCTTGAACCGTCTGATAGGCTCCATGCATCGACGTTGCCATGCTTGCATTCAGCCAAACCGTGAACATACGAGGCATTAACTTTGTTAACTCAGTATTGGCCCCTGCTGTGTTTACGTCACTCCTGAGCAGAACTTATCGATTCCATAACGTAGAAAATGAAATGCAACTGTTAATAAATAACAACTAAATTGTCCCTGAAAACCTTGTTGTTCTACGTCATACACATTTATTTTTATAACATATTTTAGGCATGCACAGTTTCTTTTTTCCGCTAGTATATATAGACTAACATAACCAGTTTCAGAAAATAAAAACCTGATTGTCAACATTACCGAAATTTGAATTCAAAGTTTACCAAACTACAACAAAGCATGAACACCGGAGGATGTACAACAAAGCACGAACACGGGAAGATGTACAACAAAGCATGAACACCGGAGTATGTACAACAAAGCACGAACACGGGAAGATGTACAACAAAGCATGACCACCGGAGGATGTACAACAAAGCACGAACACGGGAAGGTGTACAACAAAGCATGAACACCGGAGGATGTACAACAAAGCAAGAACACGGGAGGATGTACAACAAAGCATGAACACGGAAATATGTACAACAAAGCATGAACACGGGAGTATGTACAACAACGCACGAACACGGGAAGATGTACAACAAAGCATGAACACGGAAAGATGAACAACAAAGCATGAACACGGGAGGATGTACAACAAAGCATGAACACGGAAATATGTACAACAAAGCATGAACACCGGAGGATGTACAACAAAGCATGAACACGGGAAGATGTACATCAAAGCATGAACACGGGAGTATGTACAACAACGCACGAACACGGGAAGATGTACAACAAAGCACGAACACGGGAAGATGTACAACAAAGCATGAACAAGGAAGGATGTACAACAAAGCATGAACACGGAAATATACACAGCATGAATACTATATTGATACTCGTGTAAATGCTCATATGTTGTAGTAATAGTAATACAATTGCGGAACCGGTTAAGTTACAGTAGCAATGTTATAAGGTTCCCCACGACAACCTACATGTCGTGTCGTTTGTGTACCCCCTCTAATCAATCTTGACATTATCATTCCAAATGTTACTATAATCATTTACATCCAGGCGTAGGCGGCGTAAAGCTGATTATATCGGTCAGGACCGAGTCCCACACATTCTGAGCAGCACGTCGTATTGGAAGTGACATTCTGACAGCTTCCCGTCTATCAAAAACAATACACTCTTTTAACCAATGAATATATTCGCACAAACAAAAAATAAATCAAAGGCACATTCAACAAAATTGAATACAGCATTTGACAGCGTTTCAATATAGCGTTAAGTCACACAACTTTGAAGGAAATGTTTTGCTCTCCTTCTTTAAAAGAATCTTCTATCCCATAAAAAAGGCTACAGAGGAACGAAAGGAAGGTAATAAGACCTTGTATCCTAGAAAAGAAAACGTCTACTGCTTCCCATTCAAAGACGCACACAAATGAGCTTAATAATAACACCAAACACAATATCAGACAAGGAAATAGAATGTTCGTGATGAGATCATGATGGCAAAAGTAAAACTTAATCCCTTCATCGACCTTACTCGAAACCTTGTGTTTTAAGTTTGTCTGTCAGTAGCCGACATCTATCACAAACATTATCATATTTACTTCAAGCTATCAAAAATAAAATGCAGCCTCTGAAAACAGCTGGTAAGTATGGGATGTATGTTTGTTACTCTCAAGAAAAGAAAAGTGTACGATCGAAACATTCTACAGTCTGCTATATACATGTAGCGATCCATGTTGGTCATGTTGTAAGTAACGATTCAGAAACGTTGGTAGTGTTTAGGATTAAGTAGTGCCCTTGATTTAAAGTAAATGTGGGTATTTTTTCGCGATTTAAAAATGAGCTGAATAATTCGATAATACATGTATTTTGATAACGCCAATTAAGCCATGCGCCTTTCTGTTTAAACCTAAACATGCGCTAAACGTTGAATGCGCTAAAAGAAATACATTTGTAGCATTTCAAATGATACAGTGTATGTAGTTGTAAAGTCGTTTCGCCACTACGCTTCCTACAAGCATGACACTGGAAAACACATTCTTCATTTTTTATATCAATGTTTTAACGATGTTCCAGCATTGAAAATAATAACGCTCACTCATTAAAAATTCCGTCTGAATAGTTTTATCTGATATTTTATTCAATAAAGTTGATCCCATGTTTGATACCGGTCGGATATTGCCAAAGTCAAGTTTATGAAATCACATCGTTTACATAAGATTGTGTTATCAAACTATAATCTGAAGTAAAATGATAAGGTTATCTAGGTTTTGCAATGATGTTCACATCATTGATAACAAACCACTTGTCTGACCATTGTCTCTGTAAGAACATGGTCATTCACTGTATAGACATTAACATATTCCTATTTATAACTATACATTTATTTAAACTAAATAACTCCGAAAACCGGTTTGTGCAATGTGAAGTAAAATTTTATCTCGTAATTTCAAGACATCAGATTGTAATTACAACACATGACATAGTATTTCGTAATGCTCATAAATACGTCTCAGTGATAACGGAATACCTATGCTTTACTACAACATCCTTAGTAGTAATAACAAGATTACTAAAAGAGTTTAAATACATCATGATAAGTCGTTAAAACGAATAACTATGACGTATTTACGAGAGAACAACGTAGTCGTTTCGACTAAGTTTGTCGTTAATAATAATGTACTTCACGAAGCGCTAACCGCCTTCCGAAAGCCCTCTTACGATATAGGACATGCTGTTATTCCAGGGTTACACAGGGCCCCGAACACAATAATGTTTGTGTTTATATAATGAGGCACTTTGCCAAAAACAGAAATTCATCTGAATATTTAGAAGACATCAACATTTGTCTGCTGCATGCATTATATACTTTCATTTTTCATACTTTTCTTCTACTTTGATAAATCCAATATCTCCCGTGTCACAACAACATTTCATTGTTTTCCTATCGTTTTGACCTGTATTATCTAATATCACTGCTGAATTTTCAGATAATGCGTTACTTTGTATTGAAAAAGAAACAAAAAGTATTATAAGAAAATATTATTTTTGTTTTAACTTACGTCTGCTCCTTGAAGATCCTTCTGTAAAGCACTCAAGATGTCAACGTTGAAATACAAACCATATCCGAGCAAGCAGTTGCAGAAAAGAACCAAATTTCGCCATTTCCCTATGAAATGGACATTGTTTATACAAGAATATAAACTAAATGACGTTACATTTCGGTCATAAAAATGAACGACTGCAAATAATGTTTATCATAAACCTTTTTTTAATCCTATCTTTGAAAAATTTACATTACATATTAGCATTACCACAATGTTATAATTTAGTAGCGACTACATGTTTTTTTTTCTCATTTTCTATTAATCTTTAAATTATGTAGATACTGAAAAGTTTGCGTTAACAAAGCTGACTGTGAACAATGTATTGACCCCAGAAAAAAACCCCAAGAATACCAATAGTGCTCTTAAAAAAATCACCATTTACAGCATTTTATTGGTTTATCATGCGGCTATATTTATAAAATATTTAAATCTAGTCATTAGATACCAACACACAAACATAAGAGTACTTGCTAAGTTGAGACAAATCCTCCAAGGATGGGTATTTTACCCCACCAAGCACCTTATTGTTGTGAAGATCTGATATTCAATATTTACAGGTATACTTTAGTGAACTGTGGATAACACATTCGACACATACGCTCAAATATGCGTAATCAAACTCAATGTAACTGACATTCACGTGCGAAATAAACGACAGGTCAGATTGTATCTCTCGATAGTAAAACTGTGTTTCAGATACATACAATGACTATGTGTCGGTGTATGTAAATTTAATAATGTAACAACTTATTGTTTTCATTTCCTGGAAAATTCGTTAGGATAAATTCATACTTAATGTAGATACATTTCCAATTATAAATTGTTTTGTAACGTAACAAAAGAGACTCTAAAAAAACATTTTGTATCATCAATACAAATGTTTTTTGTTTTTGTTTTTACATTTGCCTGACCTTATTTCTCACAGCTCATACAATGTATTGCGTATATACAAACGAATTCGAGTTAACTGGGAATTGTAGTTAATATATATTTTCCTTTTAATATATTTATAAATGGAACACGTGTTTGTTATCCTATCATATCACATTCTGTAAACTTTATCTCTATTGTCGTGTCACCCCTGGCATCTCCTTGTCATATAATAGTGTATGCATGCATGTAATCTCTGGTATTAAATAGTATTTGCATTCAAATGTATAAGTTATAAGTGTGGTGTTTCCGATCATGTTTGACGTATCGTCATTTATTCATCTCCATTTTATAAAGTTCAACTAAATTAAATTATATATGACGTGTAATCCTCGAAAGAATATATCATAATAAAAATATAACAAATTTCTTTGCCTGCACTGTCGTTAATAGTTCTTTGCTCAGTATACAAGATATAAGATAAATATAATTTTTACAATATACATTATAATATATATTATAAGATGTGTGTAGTCAGAAAACACAAAAATTGTGCCGCGTGCTAAGTGCTATGTTAATAATACAAAAGATGATTCGTAATATTTGGACAACATTAAAGTGCAAATTACTTACGTATCATCACCGAACGAACTGTCGATCGGACTTAACTGTGTACACTATATATTTGGTTAAAGGTCAGGAGATATCAGTTATCAGTGGGCTATCTCCTATTGTTGATATTTTTCAATCTATGCAAATACGCTGATAACCATTAAAAAAAATGTAAGGAAGGTCGTTTTCATAAAAGTAAATATATGCAAAAAAAGAAACAAAGAATTCCGCTCGCATATAATTCGTCAGTGGAACTACATGCAAAAAGAATGAAAATGTTCAAGATATAAAGATAAAAAAAATATAACAGTATTTTTTTTAAACTCCAGATTCCAGAGACGGGGCAAGTCAGAACTCCATGACGGATTGATCATTCTGAACCAATCAGGACCCTGTCTGCAACTACTCGGGCTTCAGGACTGATCATGCAATAAGGTAAGACACAGGACGATTTTTGTTGATTACATGAAAGAGTCGAGGTGCCAGGAAGGACGATCATTTAGTGTCGACCGGATAGAGCTACCAACATTATGTAGCGGTAACCAGTTAAGTCACCTGTTATATATCGACTACTTGTGCAAAGCTGGTGCAAATATAGTTATACAATGTACCTGCGGGTGTTTAAGGAAAGACTGTGTGGGTTTATCGACGGCATAACAGACGTTGATTTCCGGAAGTGGACTGTGCTGCGGTACAGTGTAGTGTTTTTGGTGAATTTGTTCGTGTAGAACAGATGTTGTGCTTTCGACCAGATGTTGTTCTATGGACCATTGTTTTTGGGGACACATTCCATAAGCAGACTGACTGTGGTCCTGATGAATTTTATCATCGTGGTAAGATCGTGTTTGTGTTGAAGTGAGTGTGATAGTGAAAGTGAGTATTAGTGAATTTGTATTTAATAAATTTTATATATTTTCATGATCTTTCTCTGTGTTGCGGTTTATATCAAACTACCTTCACCCGACGCTTATCCGAAGTTACAATAACGTACAATTATTAATATCTTATATATATAAATATATATAATTATTATGCATGAAGACATTTCATATCATGTCGTTCATTCCTTTTTCACAATGCATTAACATTTTATCACATTAATGTAAGTTATATAAATATTACGTTGAAACAGATATACAAATTTTATAAAGAACATACTATAACACAACAAATATAGTGTACATCCATCATTTTTTTTTGTATCTATTACAAACATAATATTTCATGACGTAAGCTCACTGATAACAATAGTAAAAAAAAATGTCGTATATCGGGTACGAAGTTTTTATCTGGGGAAGATAACATATCATACATATGTACATATATAATTCATGTTATGCTTCAGTTTTACCATCAAGCTCCGGTTGCTCACAGGTTGGTTGGAGTTAACAAGGGGTTAGGAGGTTATGTAAGATAACACCCGATATTCGTTTACCACTTTAGATTGGTTGAGACAAACACGATAGGTGTGTTTGTAGGATTTATTTTACTTTGAAAGGCAATGTTTCTTAATAAAAACAGTGGGAGTTTTTCAAAAACCACTGGCTAAAGTTAACCAACCTTTGGGCAACTGAGAGCAGGCGAAATAAGACAGAATTTATAAATGGATTACAGCTCATGAGGACCAGCTAGAAGTAGAAGAAAATCAACAGCATTGTTTAAAAATCCACAACATCAATGAAGATGTCGAAAACCGCGTAGTAACTAGCAAAATCCATCGCTGTGTTAAGAGGATTGCGTTTTTCTATCTGCGAGCACATTTGTTTCACTGTATTTACCTTGTATCAAGGAAACTCACATACATATAAGCGTTAAACAACCAATTAATCATGATGTCAAATAATTCTAAACCATTGCCATGACGACATCGTAACTACTTAGAAAAATAAAAAATATGTCCTAACTATAGGAAAACATGTACAGTTCTAAAAATAATTAAGGTCAAAGTGCTACATATGTTTATCCAAGTTTTGGGTTTATCCAAGTTTTGGAACTGTCGTAGGGAAAGGAAGGAAGACCCAAAAAAACAACATCTGGTATAACAATGGAAATAAATTAATTGTATAAATCTTATCGTCTTTGTGACATATTTTACACTAATGCATCCACACCACCAAATATAAAGAGGCGCGTGCGAGGTATTGAAATTTAAGTAACACTCTCCTTCCCCCCCCCCCCCCGTACTCCCTCCCCTCACCACCAAAAAAAATCCCAGTGATAACTTTAAAACTACATGTTACTTTACACTTATATAGAAACATAGAAATGCACAGCATGTAGCAAAAAACAGCTACGGTCTGTTAAATGTCCCCTAAAGAAACGCAAAACATCCGATTCAGCAGAGGCCCACCAGAAGTCCCCTCCTAAATATATGGTCATACAGTGAATCACAAGATATATGTATAAATATATATTGCAGTTATAACGCTTAGCAAAACATACACAAAAGCAAAATATTGCATTTATGTATAACTCAGTTTAAATGATAATCTATTGAAACTTTCTACCATTTACGAGTATATGTATGTGACAATTATAAATAGGGTCTATAAGTTTACATTAATTCTTGTGCTAAAGGAACTTGTGCAAGTCTACGTTATGTTAAGCCATTAATACGTAGTAATCCTAAAACTCAGTTCTCTTATGGTGTTTTATATCAATATCAATACGATGTGATTGGTGATTGAGGAATTTACTCCGTTAGTAACAATGTCAGATTATGGCGGTAATTATCTTGGACTTGTATCGTTAACACGTCTTCAGCTATTTCCCAAAAGTTTGCTATCAAAACTATATATAGCCTCAGCATGCTTTCGGAACACCTCATTCTTTTTCCGATAGATATATGTAATTTTCAGGCGAACACGTTCTGACGAAGAGAAAATCCTGACTAAGCATCAGTATGTGTGTATATACAAAGACAAGTCTCGGCTTGCCGCGGGAAACAGTATAAATAGGGCTGAGCAGACGACAGACAGCAGTGTGTATTGGATCGGCAAGGTGAACACATACTAATACCTATACTAGAATATAGAACAGTGCTGAATCGCTCAACTGACATACTTTACACATAGGTGAACCTATAAATATCAAAAAGGTGATTGTTAAATTTCAACAAACTTAAACATATGTCAAAGATTTAAATAGAAGGCTTATCAATATTTGATACTTTATATATAGAGCTCAGAAGAATATGTAATTTAGTGCAGCATCTTCATCACTAGGCATAACTTACCTAATCTCAATGAGAGCAGTATGTTAGATAATATCGGTCTTTTTAAAAATAACGTTATAGGTAATAAATCATTTTGATACATAAAACATATAACAAAAAATATATATAATATACTTAAATCAAGCAATTAATAATCCATCATACTTATTCATTCCAGACTCTGACAACTATGGCGGCAACACCAATGCTTCCTCCCGGAGGACTCATGGAAATAGTCTTCTCCTTTGACACAACTGGTTCTATGTCATCAGTACTTGAAGAGGTCCAGGGAAGGTTACAGGATATGATACAGCGCCTCCAGGCGGACATCTCCGGTATAAGAATCGGTGTCATAGCCCATGGCGACTACTGCGACGAGAAAGTCTTCTATTTGACCAAGAAACTAGATCTTTGTAGTAACGTTGTGGAACTTTGTAATTTCGTGAAGGATGTAGAAGGTACCGGCGGCGGAGACGAAGATGAATGTTACGAACTTATCCTTCGCATGGTCCGACAAAACTTCAGCTGGACCCCAGCATCACAGAAAATCCTGGTTATGATTGGGGACGCCAACCCCCATGAGCCCGAGTATGAAATGAATGTGGATAGCATTGACTGGAGAGCTGAAGTGAATGATCTTAACAACATGGTAAGCATATTGTCACAAGCAATGAAAACAATTAACAAATAAATGTTCATTTGTGAATTATAACCATATAACTCATCACCATTATATAAATCGAATATTTATCATAATATGCGTTTTGTCTTATGATTTCAGGGTGTGAAAATATACGGTGTCCAAGTGTTTGAAAACGAAGGTGCTGAGGACTTCTACAAGACAATATCCACAAATACAGAGGGACACTACCTCAAGCTTGGCGAATTTTCCAACATCTGTGACTTCCTCATGGCTATTTGTTACCGGGAGAGGGGCGACGATCTGTTCACTGTAAGTAACAACTTACCTCAAAACAAGCATGTTTGCATTGAAATATCAATCGGATTGATCGTTATAATTGAACTTAGACAATTTCAAAGATTTGAAGATTTGCTTTTTATTGTAGATAAAAAGATGTATTGAAATATGACATATCAATGATTCGTTGTTTACAATTTTGTAGGGTTACGAGGCCGAGGTCCGCGGACGCTTTGGACCAGGTGGAATCCACAAAGACCTAGAGGGATTATTCGGAACTCTGAGAAAAACCGATTCAAGCACAAGTAGCATACACCCAGCCCCGCCACTTATTTCACCAACGTCGTCTACAACAACAACTGTTACGATTCCAAAACCAAAGAAGGTCACTCAAGTTAGACCAAAGGTCAACCCAAAGCGCAGAAACGTGACAGTTAGAGATATGAAGGTAACATTTATTAACACTGTTAAACAAAACATTAGAAATCTGAAATTAACGTTTTGAAATTTTCATATTGTATTGATGGTATAGCTGATGAACAAAATTCTTTTGTCACTGAAAATGAAGTATTTTTTTCAAAAACGAATAATAACTAATAGAAAACAAAACACTAATTTTGTATTTAATCATTCCAGGACAAACTCAAATGTAAAGTCGATGACAAACTGGTCCCGAGAGAGAAAGCAGCGCAAACAGTCTTCACTTGCAACTGTTTAGACTGGTCATCATGGCGACTAGCATACTCTCCAGTCGATGCCATAGAACCAAACACGAAACGAGGCTTCACACGAAAATTCAGGGGGAAATGCCACAAACGAGTCCAGCTATTCACAAAAAGATGCAGGTCAGCCCTTTATGAGGTAGCAGTACAAACCAAAGCACATGGAAAACGACACGTGATGTTTTCCAAGGTTATTTCCGGTCTTATCGACAACAGTGAATGGGAATACAATCTTCTGTTTGGAGCCAAACTCCGACTTCACAGACAAATCAAAAGTGTTGTAGAGCAGGGCTGCAAAGTGTTTGTGAGGAGGACAGTGTTGAGTAAGAAATCCCTCGCTAAAGTGGACACATTGAACAAGTACAGTTATGCATGGGCCCTCCAAAAAGACACACGACAACACAGGCGTGTCGTGAGGGACTCTGTCGTCATTTCCGGTGAATGTATGGAGGAATAAACTTCTGACAATAAGTGCCAATTTTACTGTGATATTTTCTCAAAATTGTCTTTATTAAGACAAAGATGGTGTTTCCGAAGAGTATTGATGGATTTAATTTGAGATATATTTTATTTAAAGACCATATCATGTTATATTAATTAAAAATATTGAATTGCCATATCATCCACATCTTTGCCATATCATTTCCATATCCCATTACACAGTCAATTAATTATTGTTTTGTATATAAATGTTGACAATGTATCATTTTGTTACAAATAAAAATGTTGTAATGTTTATTTTGTTGAACTTTGTTGTCCTTTAAATGGCATAGCTGCTAGATACCCACTTCAATATGACTTCAATCTATATTCACAAAAACATGCACTTTGCATATATATTATGATATTGTAATATAATATATGTACATTTGCATATGTGAGATATTCAGAAAACTACTTGAGTCGTCAAATACATACCTATGAATGTGTTACTTTAAAAACTTGTTCGTTAGTTTTAATTGACAACGTTATAATCTCAAGTTTAAATCAAACACAAATACTGACATTGAAATATCAGAATCAAAGTTACAGAAAATCTAGATAAAATAGTACACTTTTAACACCTCAATATTTCAAGTTGGTTTAATATTTGTAAGCCAGACAGAACCATGAATATAAAAGTAACATAAGATTTATGAAACAACCAGACACGAGTGTAGGGTATGTCACTTGTAATTCCAGATTCGATGTTACTAGATTATGTAGATTGATGGTAATTGCTAGTAAGTCAGAGTATTACAGGCTCCTTCTACCATTGTCATTCTTTGGTAATGATTGTGATGAATCTGATTATTTGAAGTGCATTTAAAAAGTTCACTGTGTAGACCATAGTTACAGGATGTACACATTAACTGTAAACAAAGTTGACTGAATTAAAAAAATATATTATATAAGCGATTACACGATTGTCACTCTCAGTCGTAATATTTCTTTCTTCAAGGGCAAAGGTCACGACGAATTTGTATTACGTTCATCTGGCTTCTTCGGAATATCGGAAATAACAGTGACAATTATTGTATTATTAATTTATTTTCCCTTTGGAAATCAATTTTTGTTGATTAAATAAACGTTTGACTTAAATATCATTACAGCGTAACAATAGATGGTTCTTTCTGAAGGAATAAATCATTGTCGCAACATTTCTTATTTCAAAAATATAGATCTAAAAATGAAATATGTTTCATACAACAAAGTCGAGAACCACGATTTATTGTTGTTTTAGAGACAACGGTTCAGCAGTTAAATGTTTATTAAATATAATATGTTGATAATTGACCTCATGGCCTCAGACATGTCCTCTACATGTAGGAATAAACAATAACCATGCTCAGAAGTATAATTACAGAGAAGGTCAACACATGAAATACACAACAATCGGAAATCGGGGTCAATATTAAAATATTCACAACAACAGCAAACAAAGAGATTCCGAAACGAAAGGAAAGACAACGAATATCGGAAGCGAAATCAAGTGATCCGGAAGTGCAAACGTTCCCTGAACCACTTGTAGCAAATAAGACATTAGAGGAATGAGACAAGAACATAATGAAATATGTAATAATGAAACAGAATAGCGAATGCTATAATGTCAACACACAAGGACCAGAACTGATTGTCAATACAAAAAATTAAACCAAGATGACACATACACAAAGAAAATATATGTCATAGATCTACATGGGAGTTTCAGACAAGTGCTTCGTAAAAACAAACACATACCGTATCACTCATTTAATAAAACTGTAATATTTTACAGAAAAACAGGACGTTGAATGTTGGAACATTTTAGTTTAAACTTTGTTTTATTCAAATAACATATGTAATACATAATACAAATATGATTATACATAAATGAATTGGAGACAGAAACAAGTGTTAATACACTTATATAAATCTGTTACCTTTCATCGTAACCAACATTATTAGTTACGTGAATAAATTACAGGGGAAGTTAGAAGAGAGTTGGGGAAATGCAGTGTAAAAATATGGTACATGTACAAAGTACGTTATATTCATAAAATCAGTGTATTGTGGTCAAGAAAATAGTTCTGTTGCGTCATCGTTAATACACTTTATGATTGATTTTCATACTGTTTCAAGGAAGGTATATATATGCATATAAGTAAGATCTAAACAAACAAGCTGCATAATAATGCTAACATAAAACATACTCTATGATAATCATAATCATGCGGATGTTTTTTCCCTACGCAGACAGTCGTTGTAATAGACTGTTCACATTCCATACACTATTGCTGATCGATTGTTCGTCACATCCCGTGCCTTAATATGTCATTCTCCTGTTCTTTCTTGTCCTCCTGGTATATCCGTTGGCACTAGACTGTTTGCATCGGGAAAGACCATCTACATGACTTACGTTACATATGTTATATGTTATCATATGAATACAAGGGTCATTGATTAAGAATCTTATTCAAAGACGTCATAAGATAATAAATCAGAAGTCAATTGATCTATTATTATGTTAGCAACTCAGCTATTTCATCTTACATATGCTCACACACAAACTTCCATGTATGCATACCCACACATATCATAAACACATATATCTATCATGCATACATACATACACACCTACATACATACATAAATTATATTTACTTGCGCACATGAGTGTGCATGGCTGCATGCATCATCATGCACCCACGTACGTAATGTATGAACTCCTACACACACACGCTCACACATGCATGCATACACGCATATATACATGGCTACATACATACATACATGCATACGTGCATATGTGAGCTACTCAGAATCCATTTTTTTTAAACAACATGTATACATTAATAACAGTAACATCATAATATAATATCACCCTATTGTTGTTGAAATCGCTTAGACTTAAGGATGTAATCCTGAACAGCGAGGACAATTATTTTGTTTTCTTCTAAAGATAACGATTCATTGCCATATGATAATAATTTGACAGTTATTTGATACTGAAGGGTTTCAATGTGTAGTTGTCTGATGGCAGTGTGTAAGGTACAATCTAGCAGGTAATGAGAAGTGTTTTCGATGGTACCGCATGCGCAAAGAGGAGATATAACAATGGTTTTCCTATATAAATGTTCATTAAGAGAGCTGCATGACATGCGTAGTCTAGCATGGTATATTTGTCCTAAACGTGAGCCATATGAGTAGTGTTTTGGTGGAGGTTTTTTATTGTTGCGTTTAATATGTGATTTAAATTAATAAATGGAAGGGTTTTTCCTGACATTAACTGGAATAGAGTTCCAGCTATTGATAACAGAGGGCAAGAAAGATCTTTGATACACATTAGAATGGCAATGAATGGGAGCGATAGTTGTTACATACGAATGTCTAGTATTATGGCTATGTATTCCAGTGACTGACTGTGGTACAAGTCGGTTGAGGTATAGAACATTTTGTGAAAAATAAATAGTTTGTGTTGATGTCTACGTTCAAATAGTTTGTTCCAGCCTACTTCTATATACAGTTTGTCTATGCTTGTCAGTTTGGTTGCACCAGATACAATCCTAGCTGCCTCAGTATCTATTTGTTCGAGTTTAGCACTATATTCATCGGTAATATTATCCCACACTACGTCAGCATATTCAATAATAGGTCTGATAAATGAAAAGTAAATAGTCTGTAATGTGTTTCGGTCGAGTTTGAAATTTAGAGAACGTTAAATATTTATTCTGACTGAGGCTTTATGAATAATGTAGTTTACATGTTTGATCCAACTCCCGTCATTCGAAAACAATACTCCTAGGTGCTTGTGTACTTCGACATTGGTTATTTCTTCATTATTCATGTACAATGGTTGGTGATAAGGTCTTGGTTTTTTTTTTTACTAATTAACATACTTTCATTCCTTTTAAGGATTGAAGCTTACCAACCATGAGTTCGACTAGTTTGTTAGTGTTTGTAGATCTGCCCGAAGAGCGGTTCCTGTAGTGGTTGGGTTATCGACAATCATGTATAGTGATGTATCGTCTGCAAATAATTTAATAACATAATTTATGTTGTTAACGATATCGTTTATGTAGATAAGAAATAGAAGCGGGCCAAGAATTGACCCTTGAGGGACCCTGCTTTGACTTCAACCCAATCAGAATATGCATTATTAATTATAATTCTATAAAACATTTTGATGTTTGATGTTAGTTTAGATTTAGTTCAATTCGAAAAAGAACACCTCGGTTTTTATTCTTTTATGTTATGTGTTGCAGTCTGTCGCGTTTCTGTCAAGTAATGATCGCGGATGCGAACTTTCAAATACATAATCAATTAGATATTATGGAACTAATAAAGAAACAAATTGCGCGAACATTTATGTTTTTAACAATTAACGTGTGTATAATATATATATATATATATAAACACTATTTTGTATTTAAATTAAGTCCAGTTTCCATATATATATATATATATATATATATATGGAAACTGGACTTAATTTAAATACAAAATAGTGTTTATAATGTAACAATTTTGATGTCCTTGACGATCAATCCTTTTTTTTGCGAATAATCACATGAAGAATTAATTGGGCAGAAGTGATTCTAATTAAAAATTAAGTGGTTTTAATACAGCAAATATTGAAATGATTGATATTTTCAGTTAAGTATATCTGCACTATTCAATGTGTCTTGATGATTAGTATTTGATTCACATTGCCTCGTGATACATTTAAAACCCCATCGTCATAGTAGAACATGTGAAAATAAGACGACTTTTTAATATTGTTCTAGGACTAACATTTTGATATGACAAAAAACCCACTTGTAGTTATAATTGTAAGGTAAGCATTCAATTTTTTCAAGTTGTGAAGAATAAAAATAAAATGCAACCCATTCTTTATTGGCTATAGGGTTCCAAGTACCCATTTTATTGACATAATCAATACCTGGTACACGACATTATTCTGTTCTTACCATATATGAAATTAAATTTTATATGAATCAATATTATCATAGGAATTTATGCGGAGGGAAGGCGGCATTTTCCTTAAAGCACTTTTCACTATCGAGAAGTTTATCCGAACACGGTGTTGATAGCTAATATATTATAAGGTAGTACGATCCTTTGGAAGCGCGCCGATAAAAGGGGATTCGATAATGAGGATATTCCATATAAACCGATGTGATAGTATCTTTCCAACAAAGATATCCTGACGCATATTTCATCGAGTAATCTC